CTTTGTTCATTTTGTAATAAGTTTCTCTGTTTTTTCATGGCTATTCCATTGTTGGAATATACCACAGTTTGTTATAAATCTGTTCACCTACTGAAGGATCTCCTGATTCTGAGTTTTGGCAGTGGTGAATAAGATTTCTGTAAATGTCTCTGTGTGTGGTTTTGTGTGGACATAAATTTTTAAGTTCTTTAGGTAAATACGAAAGAACACAATGTTGGACCACATGTTAAGAAACTGCCAAACTGCCTTCCAAAGTGACTGTACCAGTTTGCATTCCTATCAGCAGGGAGACTTCCTGTTGTTCCTGAGCCTCACCAGCATGTGGTGATGTCAATTTTCTGGATTTTGGCCATTCTAGTAAGTATGTAGTGTTGTGTTGTTTTGATTTGCATTTCCTTTTATTGACATATCATGGGACATCTTTTTTTTTGAGATAGTCTTGCTGTATAGCCCACCTTAACTCAAGATTGTTCCACTTCAGCTTCCCTATTGTTGGAATTATAACCATGGGCCACTGCCATGAGCTGTGGAGCATCTTTTTTTTTTTTTTTTTTGGTACTGGGGATTGAACTCACCACCTCGTGCTTGCTAGGCAGTTGCTTATGCCACTGAGCTAAATCCCCAGCCTGAGCATCTTTTCATATGCTTATTTGCCATCCCGGTGTTTCATTTGATGAGGTATCTGTTAAGGTCTTTGGCCCATTTTTAAGTTAATTGTTTATTGTGTTGTTTCTTGCATATTTAAGAGTTCATTTTAGGTAATATTCTTTTACTTAATGTCTTTTGAAGATACTTGCTTCCAGTCTGTGCCTTATGTTCCTCTTAGTGTCCTTTGATGGTTCATGCCTTTGTTGTTGTGGTGTCTACAAAATCAAAAGATAGGTTTTGTTATCTTCTAGCAGTTTTACAGTTTTGCAGTCTATATTATATGCACAGTGTTCTTTTATATCTTCCTGTCAGCTTCTACCTTTTGCATATAATTGTTCTCAAATAATAATGCCTAATTCTGTCTCTCTGCTGAAGAACACTTGCACCTCTTCTAGGTTTAATTTATTTCTTTTGGAACAGATTTGTTCTTATTTCCCTTTATGCCTTGGTGAATTCCCAGTCCTCTCTGCTTGTTAAGAGTGGATTTTGATAATTTTGGAGTATATCTGCTTTCTAGTCTGGGTAGGATCCACTAGTCAGTATTGAATCAATCTTTATGATGTGAAGAAATGGGATTCAGAAGCTCTTTTATTTATTTTACTGCTTGGTGGTACAGGGCATTGAACATAGGGCTTTTGCTCTAAGCTACATCCTTAGCACAGGAGTTCTTTTATGTCTTTCTCTTTTTTAAATAGGGTCTCAGTTGCAAAATTGACCAGCTGGTCAATTCTCCTACCTCAGCCTCCCAGAATCCAGAGATAACAGGCATGACCACACCATGCCTGGTGGTCTTTTTACTTTTTTAGAGGTAAAAGCAGCAGAATCACTTGGCATTTTTGTAAGAGAAATTTTTGGCTGCCCTCAAATAGATGCAGAACAGTAATTAGCAAGCAGCAGACAAAAAGATGGATACTATGTTAAAGAATGAAATGCTTTAAAAAACTTTAATGCCTATTTATTTTAAGCAATATTTGAATCAGAAGATTTTTAGCATAATTTGGACAGTTTTCTGCCACAGAGTTTACACAGATTTCTACTTTATATAGCTTAATAAATGTTGAATCTATGAATTTTTAAAAATGATAAATTCTCCCCTTTTCAAAATATATATTATATATATCTTGATAGCGTTTAAATTTCTTGTGCCTTTTTTATTTCATAATTTAGCCTTTGGTTGTTTTATGGAGCCAGCCTGCTTTGTACCAGGCTGCTGGTTAGCTATTTATATGTGATATTTCAAGAAGACAGGGGCCACTTCAGACAATGCTTACCCCTCTTGGTAACAGAATCAGAAATCTGTGTTTCTTTCTGTAACCATATTGTCTGATGGATACCTGGTGACTTGCTTCTTTTCAGTGCTGTAGTATCTTCAAAGATAATGTAGAAGAGGATGCATAAGAAACTGAGGCATAAGAAACAATAGTATAAGAAATTGAAGGACATGGTTTGTGTACTGGGTGCTGTCACTCATAACTGTGTGATAATATATTCCTCTTAGTCTAGGTTTCTTCCTCATCTGTGAGACAGGAATAATAATACTTCAAAGGTTGCTGAGAGGATTAAGTGATGTATTAGATGTGAGTACTTAAAACAGCCTGCATAAACCTTCAGTAAATGTTAGTTTTGTTTTCTGTACTGTTGACATCCTGGGCCAGATGATTGTTGTAGGACTAGTCCTGTGCTTAGTAATCGATACAACTCTTACCCTTCTTTTGACATTTGTCAGAGACTGGTATATAGCCCTGTCCCTCATAATAACTTTATCACATAGAACAAGGAGCCAGTGTGGGGGCTTTGATTTGTTACTGCTATATTTATTTTCACTAAAATGCCAGGACTAGATACATAAGCACAAAATGGTGTATGGTTCCATAGAATACCACATCAGACATGAAAAACATCTTTATCTTTTACCTTTGGGAGTCCTCCTTTGACTGGTAGACCACATTTGGGGCTTCCAAGGATTAGTGTGTTTTCAGAGCTAGTATCCAGTAACCTTTGGAAGGACTGTGTTTACCTTTCTGCAGTAGACAGTCACTGTGGGGAATTGCTGCATATTGTTCTTGACAAAAGCTAGAGAACAGTAGCATATACATGTGGCCTTGTAATGAACCCGAGTAATCTGTTTAATCCTTCTTGCCCTAATACCCTCTGAGCATATTTCCACATGTGCTTCCTAGACTCCTGCTGATATTCTGCATATTTTTTAGTAAAAAGGTAGTCTTCTGTTGGACTAGGCCTTGAACTTCTTTGTGGTCTCTTGTGTTGAGATAGTAAATAGTAGGAGTACTTAGTGAGGAGAATTGGTGCCCCTCTGTCAAACAATTTGAACGGGTTTTATGAGGGGAAGGATCAGAAGTATAGACCTCCTCAGAAGAAGAAGTAGCTGCTTTCAGCAGGGAAGTTCAACTGAATTGGAGTTCAGCGTTCTTATTCTCACTTGTGTTTGTCCAGATTTGTGCATAATTGAAATTATTCTGCTTTACAGATAGTACTCCTGTGTTAGCATATGAGACTGCTAGTTTGCTTGTTTAATTGGCCGAAGGCTTTCCACCAAACTCTAGACTTAATCCTTAGTCCTCTCAGTTTGTCAGCTTTAAGAATCTGTAAAAACCCTCTAAAGCAGCCATAGCATAGACATTCCACTCATTCACTTGGGAATTCAGTTTTTAACTCGTCATTTGTGGACGTTCTCAAGGACAGCCAAAAGCAGGCCCAGGCTGTGTTACCATTTGAAGTCAGTGTTTTCATCAGCTACTTGGGTTTTCAACACCCTACCCTCTACCTGTCCTCCTTCCTGTGAAGGGAGTCTTAACAGGATTGTTTACTGAGGAGTTAGGGACAGAGCAGAGGATACCAAACAAGGGATGGTGAAGCTCCTTTTCCTCAGCAAGGTCAGGAAGCCATTATTACTCCTAGGCTTTCAGCTATAACTGTGGGAGAAGAGGATGCATGGTAGAAACTGTGGTCTTAGGAAGTGAAATTCACCGCAGTCAGAAAGAGAGCAGGAGACATAAATGACCTTGGAATCCGGGAAGAGGCAAATAGTGACTGTCTGCCACAGTTGCCAGAGTGGAACCTCCGGCCCAGATTAAGTGTGCACCTTGGCTGTAGTTTTCTACGCTAGGCTGCCTCCCCTGCCTGTGCTGGGTGGCCCCTAGGTACTTTGTGTGAAACTGCTTATCCAGCTCATTCCTCCTTCATAACATGCCACTCAGTTACATCTTACTGTACCTTCTGAAGGGAAGGCCCACGGCCTAATGTTTTCCTGATTGTGTTCTCATGGGCTGTAACTCAACATGGCACAGACATTTATGCTTGTACATAATAAAGTACCACTCATCCTACATTCTCTTTGTTTGATTTTTTGAGACAGAGTCTTGCTTTGTAATTCAGGCTGCTCTTGAACTCACTGTGTAGCACAGGCTGGCCTCAGACTCATGGCAGTCTTTCTGCATCAGCCTCCCAAGTTCTGGGATTACAGGTGTTAACCACCACACCCAGGTTGCTAGCTTGTGTGTTCATTCATTCTTTCTTTCTCTTATTAGTACCTGACTGCAGTAGATAAAGAGTACATTCATTGTGGAGAGCTGGTAGATGTATGTAATACAATTTAATTCATTTTTTCATCTCCTTCCCTTCCTCACTCTGCCCTCTTCATGCCTATAGTCTCAGCACTCTGGGAGGCTGAAGCAGAAGAATCTCAAATTCAAGCCCACTCTGGGCAAATTAGTGATTAGTGCAGTCGTATCTCAAAATTTAAAAAATAGAGCTGGGAATGCAACTCAATACAAAGGCCTAGGTTCAATCTCCACTACCAATTATAGTCATAATAATAGCAGCGGCAGCAGCAGCAGCAGCAACTATAATACAACAGAAATCAAGTCCTCAAGGAACAGGTGTGTCGAGAGTAGCTCACAGTCTTCCCCCGCTTGCCAGTGCTGCAGGTTGAGAAGGGTGGGCTAAGGTGGATCCTGGGGCTCCCAGGCAGAGCTAATCTGTTTTAAAGATTGATGGGAGCTCCCCCTGGTCTGTGATTTAAGCAGTAGACTTCTGTGACAGGGGAGTGAGGCTCTGGTCATCTAACCAGAGCTCCTTTAATGAGAGTTAACCCTCATTTCACATGACCTGCAAAATACAAACTTTTGGAACTTCCTTAGTGAGGAAGGTAGATGAGATGCAAATGTTTGTGGGTTAGTGATAGGAACCTAACAGAAACTAAGTCTCTAACCTAAGCTGAGCAAAAGTAAATTCCTACCAAAATAAACACCAAATGGGGCCTACTTAGAAGGAATGACAGACAGTAGTAGTAGTTTAAAACCATTTTGCTAATAATTTTTTTTTCTGTTAAGGTTGCATGATGGAATTTGAACATTACCTCAAGAAGTTTCGTATTTTGGATTAGTTAACAGTTTTCATTCTCCTGATTATTTCTTCGGTCTCTGGAGACATTAAGTACAAAAGATTATACCATGGACTACAAGGAAAGCTGCCCAAGTGTAAGCATTCCCAGCTCTGATGAACACAGAGAGAAAAAGAAAAGGTTTACTGTAAGTATATAATATAACCCATATGGGGAAAATTTATTACAGAGGAAATTTTTGTGTCCTAATTTGTTCTCCCCTAACCTTACAATGCTTCTCTTTCCCAATATACAGATTTTACTCAGAGTGTATGTGTGTGTGTGTGTGTGTGTGTGTGTGTGTGTGTGTGTATGCACATGCACATGATACTGGGGATTGAACCCAGGACCTTTGCATATTTTTTTATTTTGAGACAGGGTCTCACTAAGTTTCCAAGTTGCCAAGACTGGGCTTAAACTTGCAGTCCTCTTGCCTCAGCTTCCCATGGTATTGGGATTACAGGTATGAGCCACTATGACTGGCCTAAATTTTCCTTCTTTTAGAATAGATTTTTGCCTACTTACATGTCCCCTTGGAGAATCTTATGACACTGTCTCCTAGATCATCTTACCAAAAAAAAAGTATGTGTTCGTACATGTTTATCTGCCCATTGATAATTTTGTGTGCCCAGTCAGGTATGGTGGGCTCCTGAAGTCACAGATCCCATATTAAGAACTGCTATCTTGAACTTTCCACAGTATCTTGCTTATGGCATTATTTTATATCTTGTTATAAATTATAAAAATAATTTAAAAATACTATTTTGTCTCTTTTTTTCCACCTGAAAGGCAACGTCCATTTCTGATTTTACATATATATATATTTTTTTCATTTTTATTTTAAAGAGGATAAAACCAAGGAAAATAAAATTTTAGGATCAAAGCAATCAAAATAAGCTAGTGTAAGTGATACAGGACTTCACAACCTTATGAAATCAGCAATAGTTACCATAATGCCTTTTGTTGTCTTCAAAATAGCTGCTCATACATTCAGACCTAGTAAAAAATTGAACAGAACAGAATAGAGTAGAAACAATAAAAACAAAACAATGAATGCAATAAAGGACTTCAAAATAAGCTAGTAGTAAATCCAAAATAGCAACCATAGTATGTCTCACTATCTTGTAAATAGCTGCTCATGCCATCAGACTTAACCTAATCAAACAAAACAAAAGAGAATAAAACCCAACCCAAGAAAACAATGAAAATGATATGGTTTCCAGGCATGGGTCACCTCTTGATGAGGCCTGGTTCTCTCTTCCCGCAGTCTGCAAGTGGCACTAACTCACAGAGAGAGGCTTGGGTGTCCTGATTGTATATCATGTCACTCTAGTATCTACTGTAGGACTTTAGAATATCTTGTCAATCTAGTATCTACTGTAGGACTTTAGAATATCACGTTGAATGTATATATACATTGAATTTTTGCTGAATCAGTATTATCAGGGACTTACTGATGAGTACTCACTTTTCTGATTAAAATGACATACACAGTATTATTTTGATTCCAGTAGTCCAGCTAGCTAGTACAAGGAGAGATCTCCTGCCCTTGTTCTCCTGAAAAAAAAAAAAAAACAGTATCATTTATCTTATCTTTAGTTGATCTGGTCTTTCCTGTAAATGCCCCCTCTGCCCCCACTAAATTTAACCTAATGCGTTTAACACTTAGTTTGATCTTGATAAACATGTCCAGATGGTCACAATTATCCTTTTTTTTCCAGCCCCTTTACTTCCCCAAGTTAGTGTCTTGATTTTTGGGAGGAGGAATGTCTGCTAAGAAGATTGACCTCATAGCTGACTCATAGCTACTGTCATGTTTGTCATTCTTCTATTTAGTGGTAGCAAACCTGTGGCATCCATGCCAGAGTCAGCTGTTTTTGATCACTGAAAACTCTAAAAGGTTCACTGTCATTATTCTAGATCTTTGCTATTCTGGTTTTAGAGTGGCTGGTCTGGCAAATACCATTAGGGAGCATCTATCTCTGTCTGTCTCTGTTCCCAAGAACAGAGATAGCTGTTCTCTAAGACATCTGTAGTTGCTGGACTAACTTGGGATCTCTTTTCCATTGGTTTGTCCAGGGTCTTAGAGGTGCTATCTGTCCCATCAGTGCCTTGGCTCTTGAGCCAAGTTGAAGAGCACTGTGGCTTTGACACATCTTTTTCCTGCTCTTGACTAAGTGGCCCACATCTACCCTCTATTGAGGGACTTACCTGTTGAGCCTAATGACAGATGACTTTTAGCTCAGTGTCCGTGGCACATGGGAATTGAGAAAAGCTGAAAAGTTAAACTAAACTCTTTGTCTAGGCATTATATTCTGCCTTCTTAGTTAGTGGGACCTAAGTGCTCCCAAATGGCTTTCTCCCAAGGTCTCAGCTAGGGAGCTTTGAAATAGTCCATCACCCTGTGCTCTCCCTGTGCTCTCCCTGCCTAAGCAAATACATCTCCTATCCCCTACACTGAAGCAGGACCAAAGATACTGGAGTATGCGTGTCTGACCATGTACCTGCCCTCAGCCTTTGTGTTGCAGGGATATCTTTCAAAATATGCTTTTTCTACATGTTAATATAAACTACCTTCTCGCAACATTACATTGAAGATAAATAGGGTAAAATAGGGGGATATGTGCAGGTTTTTTCTGTTTCCCTCTCTCTTTATTGTTTTTGTTTTTTGTGAGACAGGTTCTCCTTATATCTATGATTATTATTCTTCTCAGTCTCCCAAGAACCATGTACCTCCATGTCCAACTTCCTCTCCTTTTTTATCCCCTTTATACCATTTTCCCCTTCGGAGACTTACATTGTAGATGTGGGCAGTTGGTTACTTCAGGTGTCTTGATTTTCAGAATAGAAATATTTCTGTCTTCTTGGAAAGGGTCTGGTCAGCTTTCCGAACTCTTACTCACTGTTCCCATGCTGTGCCCTGATTTCTCAGCCCTTGCCCAGACCATCTTGTTCATTTACCTTCTTCAAATTCTCAAATTTTGCCTTATTAAAGAGGTCTCTCTTGGCTACTTAAAATATAAAATAGCACCTTCACACCATATCCTACTCCTTTTACTGTCTGTTGTACTTACTATACTTAAATATTAATTATCGCCACCTGACGTGTTTTGTGTGTGTTTATGTTTGTCTTGCCTGCTGGAATACGAGGTCCTTTGAAGCAAGGACTTTATTGTTTCTCTAATCCCCAGAATAGAGATAGATGTTCCCTAAGTATTTGTTGAATTGCTGTTTGAGTGAAAGTAGTACTAAGTTTAAATGCTAATTTCTAGGTCACTATGGTGCGATCCACAGTTCTCAAGAAAATTTTGTCACTGGGACAGAATACCCAACATCTGCAGCTTAAAGGAGGAGGGCTGTACTTTGGCTTATGTATTAGAAGTTTCATTCCTTGCATAGTCATCCAGTTCTAGACAGAACTAGCATGCAAAAAGGGCCTGCATGGAGAAAAGCTGTTTGTCTCATGTTGGACAGGAAGTAGAGAGGGAAAGGTGGAACCAGGAAGGAGATACACCTTGCCAGGTCATGCCCCCAGGGACCCACCTCTTCCAGCCAGACACAACTTTTAACAACAGGTCAGCTGTATCACACCCATTATCCATTTGCCTTTCAAAGGCCCAATTTTTGAGTGCATGCAGCTTGGAAAATAGGCACCAGCTGTACATCAGAGCACCACTGCATCCAACATAGACTCACCCAGCTTCAGCAAGCCAGGATGCCAGTGCCTATATTATACTTAACAACAAAAATAGACATTGTATAACTAAGTAGTCACTAATGTATTAAAGGCTTGTCTTCATGTGTCTCATATATTCTGTAGCGTGAAGCTTCTAACAGAGTCATGTGTTGCATTCTAGGGTGAGTTTTTTTTCCTGGTGTGTGCGTGTATTTTTTTTCTTTCTTTCTTTCTTTCTTTTTTTTTTTTTTTTTTTTTTTTTTGTGGTGCTGGTGATTGAACCTAGGAAGTGCTAGACTGTATTCTCCAGTACTTTTCATTTTTTATTTGACAGTGTCTTGCTGAATGGCTCAGACTGGCCCTGAATTTTGAACCTTCTGTGTCAGCTGCCTAATCAAAGATGGCTTGACTTGTATCAATTCTACATTATATTTTGTCAGTGAATTTATGTATTATGCCATGTACTATTCTAGGCCCTGGGAATCAGTGGGAAAAGTAAAACAACCCTAGCTTGTAAGGAATTTACGTTCTGATGAGGCAAGACAGCCACTAAAGAAACACTCAAATAAAAATAGGATGATAATTTCATAGCATAACAAATATTTAACTACATTCTTTGAAATCCAAAATATTTTTAAAATTTGTAGATTTTTTTGCCTGTTTGTATTTCATGAGAGCTTATTTAATAAGTGCTTGTTTATATTCACAAGACCTTATTTGCTGTAGAGCCCCTATAGTATGGAATATAAACTTAGTTGGTTTTTCTGTACTTGGGTAGCCAGAGGAGGCTGTCTGACCTTTTTAGGGACTATGCTCACAAGAAAGTGAGCTCAAAGAATTTAAGAAGCTCACAGTCATAGAAATATGTTTCTTGTCCTTTTATGCTGCTTTCCAAGCCAGTCTGATCCTTGAGATCTTACCAGATAAATCTGCAGTTTAGTCTTGGTTAAGTTCTTTGGCATCTTTTCTTCTTGGGGCTCTTTGTCTGAGGAGTGTTAACTAATTCTAACATGTCACATCCAATAGTTCCCTCTTCTTTAATATTATTTATCACATTTTACTTAAATGGAGTTAATTGTTTATTGGCATATGTTTGCAGTATATTATAATGTTTACATTTTTAAAATTTTATTTAAAAGGAAAAAGAGAAAAAAAAAGCAGAACAAAACAAAGCAGTGTAAGGGTACAAGTAATTCAGAACTACAAAAAAAAAAAAAAAAACAAAAAAAACAGTAAGCTATCACCAGTTAATAGATTACTCGCTATCATCTTAGAAACGGTGTTTCAGGTCACAGGATCAAAGCACACAAAGCGAACATTCAAACAGTGAGACTGCAAACAGTTGTGTTCAGTAATCCAATCAAAAATATTAATATGGTCTTCTATGTAACACACCTAACACCCTTGCTGTTGTATCCTTCAGGGCACTTTTCTTTCCCTCTCTTTATTACAACAAAATTTACACATTTTGGGCTTTACTGCTCCCTTAGATCTTATTACTTTTTTTTTTGTAAGAGAATAAAATCAAGCATGATAAAACAAAGCTGTCAGTCAAAACCAAGGATAGACATAGCACATGATGTAAACACAGAGTACAAGGTTATCACAATAGTTACCATTATGCCTCTTGCATCCTTAAGAAGAATTTTCTATCTCTTTAGGTATTATAAAGTTAAACAAAACAATAGAGAACAAGACCAGTAAAGCCTAAACTTTGTAAATCTTACAGAACCTCAAAAGAGGATAATAGTCAAACCCAATGGGCATCATAGTGAATCTTATTGCCTTCAAAGTAGTTGCCTATACTCTGATACTTGATACTTTCATACAGAGCAGAATAGAGTCTAATCAGTCAAAACAAGATAACGGGGGTATTACAGGACTTCAAGTTGATAGGAAATCATAATGTTTACATCTTGTGTGAAGTTAGTACATGCACATGTTAATTCCTTTTTTCATCCCCTTTCTCTTTGCTCTGTCCCTCTTAATCACCTTCCAATTTGAGGAAGACCTATCTCCCCACTTCCAATTGTCTATCTTTTGTTTTGCTCTTTATTTATAATTTGGATTTCTCATGTAAAAGAAACCATGCTATATTTAAATGTGTGGGTCTGATTTATATTACTTAACATTACTATCTCAAGTACCCTTTTGGTTGACCAAAAGAACCAGATTATCACACTGTAGCTTATGTGTTACCTAAGTATTTTTTCTAACCATCTGAATGTTACTGTCGTTTGCCCTAGTGACACTTTGTCATCTTTCTCACAGAGGAATATGAATTTACATTGGCATGGGGGGAACTTTCCTTAAGCTTTGGCTTGTCAATGCACTCATCTTGTAGGACAACACTACAGAATACACACAGTATAAACACATGCAATATCAGAACAGTTCTTTCCTCACAATGTTGTCAAGTATTAACTCACAAAGGCAGGTTTTCTATCTCTCATGGGAAAAGATAATTTATGCACATTTGTGTGACTGTCTGCTGCGATAAATCTAGTTTCTCTGTTAAGGTGTCCAACAGACTTAGGCATTCATATCGAAGTACCAAAACCAACTTGTACCTTTCATCTATTCATTGCTATAAAATAATGAGATTAATAACCCAAGCCCTGGGGCTGGGGATTTAGCTCAGTGGCATAAGCACCTGCCTTACAAGCAGGCGGTCGTGAGTTCGATCCCTGGTACCGATAAAAATGAAAAAGACAAAAAAATAAATTAAAAATAACTCAAGCCCTACATCAACCATCCTTTCCTCTTGTTGTTTTCCTTTTAGTAGTGATAGAGGTTCTGTGGTATTTCCTGCTAAGTCATTGCAGTATGTCTGAAAATACCTGTGGGATAAATTATGAGAGTTAGTTCTAAAACTTGATTTAATACTGGTTTTGATCAAAAGTTTAGATTTTGGCTTGAGTTTTATGTTTTTTATTAAGGGTATGAACTTGGTCAAGTTACTTTTTTGTTCTCATTTTGTAATAATTGTATTCTTGCGACGCATACCTATAATCTTAGCACTTGGGAGGCTGAGGCAGTAGGATCAATGTGAGTTTAAGACTGTGTAATCCACAAAGTGGGCTACAAAGTGAGCTGAATTGCATAATGAAATCCTGTCTCAAAAAGACAAAAAATATTTGTTCTTATGTCATAGGCTTGTTTATTATGATCTATGAAAGTATATATATGCAAATATCAAACACATTGAGATAGAATTAGAAAATCTGTGAATTCTTAGTTTGAAAAGACTGAAAGATGACCTAGCACAATGGTGGCAAACCTATGGCATGTGTGTTGTTTTTCTTTCTAACATCTTTTCTAACATCAAAAAATGCTAATGTGTGAGTTGTTTTTTCTAGGCTAAAACCTCAGTAATGATGGGTTTAATTGCAGTATTGGCCCTTTACTAGAAATAAGTGAACCGGTTTTCAGTTGCAGTTTGGGCACTCTTCTCTAAAAGGTTTGCCATCCCTGACCTAGAAAGAAGAAAACTTATAGTTGACTGTTTTTGCTATGCCAGGTATCACTTTTGAAAATACTTTATAATTTCAAGATAATAGTATAGTGCTAGGGAAGAAAAGAAGATGGCATCAATGAATTTGTAATGTTTTATTCTTGTGAAAGAAATCTAAAGCAAAATGCCTATTATTAGCATTCAGTAGATCTAAAGTACATGTATTACATATTTCTCTGCAAACTACTGAAATATTTTACATTTTAAAAATACCATTTTGCCAAGATGAAATGTTCCAGTTAATATGCTTGTATATTTGGAGAATCATATATAAACTTAGTGTCAGTTTTATGGATATAAAAAGAGTTTGTACATATTTTAATAGATAAGGGTTTTTTTGCAGTTAAAACTTAATAAACTGTGTTACTTTTATTTCCGTAGGTTTATAAAGTTCTAGTCTCTGTGGGCAGGAGTGAGTGGTTTGTCTTCAGGAGATATGCAGAGTTTGACAAACTTTACAACACTGTAAGTAATCATCTAATGGATTTCTGTTAAAAACAAAACAACTGGGAAAATTCCAAATGATTTATTTGAATGATTAAATTAACACATATATGAGGAAAACAGAAAAAAGAGTCTTTAAAAGCATCCTTACTTTGGAATTCTTACACAAAAAGGTGGAGAAAAGATTATTGAGCAGTTCCAAAGAAGCCATGAAAAAAGAAAGCTGCATGAACAGCTCAAAGTACATTTTAGTATCGTCAAGTATTAGAAACAAAATTTTCCATCTTATTTCTGGCTACACTGCCCAACTATCAGCTTTATGGCTGAAATTCTATCATGAGTCCCCTCTCCTGTATTTCATTCATAGTTAGAGATAGGTCTTACTGTCTGTATTGTAAGTAGGTAACACAACTGAAATGATTATTGACTAACAGTGATCTGGAGGTGGGGGTTGGGTGGAAACAAAGAGACCATTAGATGACTAAACTAAAGCCAATACACACACACACACACACACACACACACACATACAGACATGATTCAGATATTAACGATACTCACAATCTAGTGTCTGTAGTTGTATATACAGTACTTTGTAAAGTAGTAGAGAGACCCCAGGCCTATTGTAATTCATCAGGCCCGATCTCACAGGTAAATGAGGCCAAAGAATGCCTCTTGAGTTAGATTTTACAGAACCTCAAGTTAGGACAGCTCTGAATTCCAAGCTTTGCTTCAGTCAAAACAAAAGTGCCAGGTGTGGTGATTAAGGATGGCCTTGAATTCAAAGTCAACCTGACCTACATAGTAAATGCGAGAGCAGCCTGAACTATTTTATTACACGATATGGTATGGTATGGTATGGTATGGTATGGTATGGTATGGTATGGTATTGTATTTGTCTGAGGCAGGGTCCCACTATGGAGTACAGGCTGACCTTGAACTTGTTTGTGTACCCCAGGCTGGCTTCAAACTCCGATCATCCTTCCTTAGTCTTCTGAGTACTGGTATTATAGGCATACACTACTATACTTTTAAAATGATGTTTATCTGTTCCTGTGTAAAATCAGTACATGTTCTGGAAAATCTGAAGAATAGAAGAAAATGACAGTATATTAAATGTAAAAATTATCCCTAATGCTATATTCAGATAACTGTTAGCATTTTACTGTTTTCTTCTTTATTTTTTCTTTAATGTATTTAGAATTAAATATATATAGTTTAAATATTGCATAATCAAATGCTATGGAGATAGTCCTTCTTGACTGTAAGTGAAATCACATATAGAAAACGATAACCAGTAATAGGGAGGATGTACTTTTTTTTTAAGAGGCTGAGTGAATGTTAACTGTTAGCTGTCTTTAAAGCAACTGAACACCCACTATCTGCATAGTAAGCATTTTTTTTGTAATATACCAAAGTTATGCTTAGGTGTAAATAACATGACAGAAATGTTACACACACACACACACATTTATATGACCTTAAATTTTGTTCAGTGCAGCCCTCATAACTGAAAGTTAAACCTCCCTGTATTTTCCTTACAAGACTTTATAGGCTAGATTTATCTTCAAAACACCTGTTGAGGGGAACATGGGGAAAGGACTTGAGGAAAATCTAAAAACTCAGCGGAGTGGAGACCCATATTAGTGACTGGTCTTCCATATTGGGTTTGTGACAAATAACTGGTGATTAATTAGGTGAGTTGAGTATCTTTAAACATAAATATAAAGTAGGAAAACTTGTTTAGACTCATTTCTTCCCATGAACATTTTTCATCTCTCTTTTGTGAAATACTCATTTTTAAACTTTTTTCAGAAAAATGTCGTTAACGTGTAGCTCAATATTTATCATCCATTTTCTTCTTTTCTCTGGATTTTCATTTTTTCCATATTTCACTATTTTTTTGTGTCTGTCATGTACATATAACTTTAATAATGCAATTTTCAAATTATATATAAGTATTATATGTAATACAAATTCTGCCTCGTGGTGAAGAACAAGGAGATTAGAGCATGATATTTGTGATCTTTGAAATTGTAGAATTCAGATTAAACCTGCCCTGGATTTTACTACGTTTGAAATGTTAAATCTTTCCTTGGGTTGTTCCTTTAAAATAAAAATAAATTAACATAAAACATTTCTAATATGTAAGCATTTAATTGTCAGATTACCTGTGTGTTTTACGGCCATAGTTTGTATTTTTAACTTTTTATTAATAGAAATTTTCAAGTCCATGTAAAACTAGACAGACTAATACAAAACAGAAAAGAATACAATGCTGCCAGCCAGCTTCAATTACTGATGCAAGACCATTAGTCTCATCTCAATTGCCAGGTAGCCCATCATAATTTTGGCACAAATTCTGGACATCATGTCATCTGTAAATATTTTGGTATCATGTATTCCTAAAAGATAAAGATTCTTAAAACATTCACACAGTATCATAAACACATCTGAAAGTAAATTAACAGAGATGCCTTTAATATCAAATATCTTGTTACTTTTTATGTTACTGGTTGATAAGTGTTTTAAGTGTCTTTTAATCACTTGGTTTCTCCCCTACTTCTCTCCTTTACAGTGCAGGGTGTGTGTATATAGGGTATGTGTTTAAAAAAAGTATCCTTTGATGACAGATTTTTAGTCTGAGTTTTGCTCATAGCATTTCCATGATGTACAATGATTAATACATTCTTTTGTTTTTATAAATCCTGTCAGTCATTAGTTAGATCAATTTTATATGTGTATACATAAAACTAATCTACATAGTGTATATGGCTTATAAGAATGGATTGCATTTATAATAAAAGCGTAATCCATTTTTATAATTTACTGCCCGAATTTTATTTTATTGAGAGCTGAGTTTACCTCTCTAAAATCAGATAAACAAGTATTTAGAGGGGCTGGGAATGTAGCTCAGCAGTGCAGAAATTGTCTGGCAAGTTCTGGGTCCTAAGTTCAATTCCTGGTACAAAAAAAAAAAGTCTTTTAGAATATTAATAAAGGGAAAGCTAAGAGTGTATTCAAAACAAAACTTACCAGCTTTCTGAGAAAACTATGGACAGAAAGTGCTGTCGACCTATTCCTGTTGAGAGAACACAAATAGCATATCTGTTCTTGAGGTAATTAATGGCGGGGAATATATTCAAAACCTAAATGCTTAGTTCCAGTTTAATCAGTTAACATGGACAGTTTCCGTTAAGCCACACAACAAATCTTAAGATTCTTGCTCAACTTGTTCCCATTTCACATGTAAGAAAACTGAGGCTTAGAGATATTAAGTAACTTATCTAAGGTCACAAAGATACCAGGTGTTTTATTGGAATCAAATGGGGTGATTAGTAAGTCTTTGATATTTTACTGATATAATTATTAAAATTAAATATTGTACATTGTATGATCATGTATTTAAAAGTATATCTTATGAATTTTCTCAGTATCAGATTGTATTTGGTTTTAGTGCCTGCATAACTAGAAGACCTATAAACTTAGTTCATGTAATACTGTTTTTAAAACTCTAGTTGAAGAAACAGTTTCCTGCTATGGCTCTGAAGATTCCTGCCAAGAGAATATTTGGTGATAATTTTGATCCAGGTAAGCAGTATTTGTGTAGACACACTGTTAAGTGATGGTTGAAGTTTGAAGGTTATTAGCATACTCATTTTATTGTATATAAGATTTCTAAGGAAGATGGAACAGTTAGGTTCATTAATTTGCCCAGGGACAAATTCAGGTAGTAAATGGCACTTTTGGAAGTTCAATTCAAGTTGTCAACTTCTTTTTTTTTTTTTGCCTTTTTCCTTTTTATCAGTACCAAGGATCAAACTCACGACTGCCTGCTTGCAAGGCAAGCGCTTATGCCGCTGAGCTAAGTCCCCAGCCCCTTCAGATAAACTTCTTAATCATTATAGATCATTTGAGATCGTTTCCTAACATTAAATTGGTATCATGAAGGATATTCATTCTTTAATTCAGTAACTGTTATTAAATATATACTCCATACATAGCGACCTGCAGGCCTCAGGAAGCCTACTAACGGAAAGCCTTGAGAATCTAGAACTCTGTGTTTTAGGATTCAACTCTAGAACTTTCCCCAGAATCCAGGTGCTACTTTACGTACCTGCTTTCTTGGTCAGTGAAGCATTCTCAAATCACTTACGTGGACTGTGCTTCCTCTAAACGTGTATTCCTTTCTCCCAAACTTTTTCTCTTTGTCCATGATTAACAAACATCTCTTTTTCCTATATCTCTTTAATATTTTTCTATGTTCTTGCTTTAATTAAAGCCTAACCTACTTCCCGCCTACAGGTGTTGATCATCTTCTCCACTGGAGGTTCTTTATACTTTATGAACCTTAGGATTGCAGAATATATAGAATATTGTTACATATAGAATTCTTTTCACTTGAGAGAATTAAAGCATACTTCATTGTATTTGCTAACCTGTCCAATTTAGGCTGTACATTTTATAAGTGTCTTTCATTGAGTGAGGGAATTGATTAATTTGAAGTGGCACAAAGACTCAAGAATAAAACTGTGTGTTAGTGCTAATAGGAAACTTGGTCTTGCACTGGAGTTCTTTGAATCCTTGAGGCTGAATCATTTCATTAGGGAAAAAGGAAAATAAGTGAAAGACCTGCAGCATCAGTGCTTCATTGTTGAAAGCACACGCCAGACTGACTGTACTGTACTACTTAGTTTTGATGAATTTAGTATTTGACATTATAATTGATTTTTATTGAAGAACCATTGAAGTGTGTCTTCAGCATGTTATATATGACTCGTCAACAGTGAAACAGATGTATCTGTATGTCACAGAGGTCATGGAAAGCCTTGCATTGGGGAAATCAAATCTAAGTCGTACTCAGAATTCAAAGATGGATAAGACGCTTATTTGGTTATTAATCTTTGGGAAACAAGCATCTTTGTATTTTGTGATGGGAGTGCAAAGTGATATAGTCACTGAGAGAAATTTGCTAATAATTCTTTTTGACCAAGAAATAACAATTTTTAGGTATCTATATCGAAGATAAACTGACATACATGCAAAGCTGTAATTTTATGACATCACTTTTAATAACAAAAAACTGGAAAAAACTGAAATATCCTTCCTGAGTTAAAATGCATCATAACTGTAAAAAGAAAAAAACTCTTAATGCATTTCTATAGTGTGATCTCCAGTGTATATTCAATGGAGAAAAATAAGGTGCAGATACATATTTTTTGCATAGGAAACTATGGAAATTCAAAAGGAAATAATGAAAGTATAAATAAAATTATTGGAACTAGTGATTTAAAGGGAAAGGAGAAGCCCAGGGAGGCAATAGTGCTGAAAATTAGATGCTCCTGAAAAAATTACTCTATTGCTTTGACTTTGGAATCATGTATGTGTTACATAATTTAAAAACAAAAAATACAGTAACAAAGCAGTCTAACTATACTTTATTTGTTCACAAGCACCTATTAAGTATCTTCCAAGATACAGTGCTATGTTGACAACTAGAGATAATAAATTTTTTTTCCCCTGTAAATCATGATGCTTGGGGGTCCGGAGATACGTATATATAGCTTTAGCAGCACCGTGCCCTCCTGGCAAGTGCAAGTTTGTGAGTTTGATTCCTGGTACCAAATAAATAAATAATCATGATGCTTGCTTTCAACAGTTTTAGACAACTCTTCTTAATTTTAAACTTCTGCATTTTAAGCCTGTATTCATATAAATTCTTAGAGAGATTATAAGAAGTACATAAATCTAACTTGAGGTGTTAAAGATAATATGTTAGCCTTATATAAATTCTTGCTATTTCTCACAATGGCCTGGAACACATTTTTATCTGCCCTGGAATTTTTTTCCAGATATGTGCATGCTTAATGTTAATCTAAAAATTAAATTTGGCATTGCCCCTAAATTCTGATTGCTATTGGACTTATTTCCTATTTCTTTTTCTTTTCTTATATAAGACTTCTCATGGGATAACAAATGGTTTAAAATAGAAATGAAAAGACTATTAGCACCCTTAGCATAGCTTTGCCTCTATCAGCTCACTGAAGAAAGGAAATTACTGTTTTGTTTTGGTTTTTTTCTGGTCTCCAAAGTAAAATGTTTCTTATTCTTTTTTTTCTCAAAATACAATGTGTAATAAGTATCCACAGTTGTTTTCATATACCATAGATTTTCTTTTAATGTTCTTAATGTGGCCATTCATTCTAGTTCATTCTCAGAAATTATTAAATCCATTTCCTGAGAAATGTCCTTCAAGTAATTTTTAAAATTTTGTATTTTTTGAAATGCTAGGGATTGAGTGTATATTACATTATAGATACTCTACTTCTGAGCTACATTCTCAGCCTCCATACAATTTTTTAAAGTAAATCTCACACTTTATAAGAAAAATGTTCTTGGAAGAGTTTTATAAGATACCTACTTGTGGGTCAGGGATATATCTCAATGGCAGTGCCTGCCTGGCAAATGCAAGGTCATGAGTTTGATCCCTGGTACCCCCCCCCCAAAAAAAAAACCTACTTGAATTTCTTAAAGGGTTATGGTTCACCAAGATGTGCACCTGAATCCCAGAAACTAGACTCAATTTATTTGTTCTGTAACAGCCATACCTTACATTTAAGAAATGAAAACAAGCCACATTATTGGAAATAAATCATCATTTTGGTAGTCAACTCTGTATTTCAGTGTTATCGAGTAGTGTATTGACTTTCCTGTCTTTTTGCTTTAAATCTGAATGTGCTCCTAAAGCCTCATGTACTCAGAGGTGCGACATTTGGATTATAGCTTAATGTTAGGAAGTGGGACCTAATTAGCAGTAGATCACTGGGGGAATGTCCTAAAAGGGTATATCTTTCTCCCTGGCTTGTTCCTTTTCTCTGAGTTCTGGCTGTCATGATGTGGGGCAGCTTTTCCTCCACTCTTGCTCTCTGCCATGCTGTCCTGCCTTGGAGCCAGAGGATTGTGGACTGAAATCTCTACAAAGTCCAGATAAATCTCTCTAAATTGTAGGTGGCAGGTACTGTGCTGTGTCTTGTGATGAGAAAGTAACTAAGACAATTGCTGGGACACAATAGTTGGCAAGTTAAAGGAGGAGAGGTCAATTTTGGCTCATAGTCCGAGTGGATTCAGTCATGGTCAGCTGGCTCCAAGGCAGAAGGAGCATGATGGAAAAACATCATTCGTTACATGGTAAAGCAGGTCAGGAAGCAGAGCAAGAGAGGAGCTGGGGACAAGAATATGCCCTGCCTGATCACATTCCCACTCGTCTGCCTCTTCTGACCAGGCCCTACCTTCTCACCCTGCATTCACTTAGGAACTCAATAATAGATCACAGCACCCTTATGATTTAATCATCTTTTGAAAGCCCCACCTCTGAACATGAGACTTCTCGGGGGCATTTTAGATCCGTAACGTTAGAACCGTAACATTCTATCCCTGGCCCTCAGTTTATCCATCATACTATGCAAAATGCAGGTAGTCCATCTTTAAGAATTGTTAAAGTCTTCACAGTAAAAAGTCCAAGTCCAAAGTCTCCTCAGACTGTAAGCAAACTCTTCGTTGTAGCTCCCTGTAAAGTTTTTAAAGTTTGGCACAAGGTAAACATTCCCATTCTGACTTGTGAGAACAAGGGAATAGACAGAAACCAGACCCAAAGCAGATGGAAACCCAGCAGGATAAACAAACGTTAAGTGATATGGCTGCATGTCCAATACTCTGGGAAGGGTGGATAAGATGAGAACTTTAAAGAGATTTTTAACTCTGCCTCTATGGTTTTGCTGATTACAACTCACTTGACTTCTTTTAGGGTAGTTCTGCTCAGTGCTTGTGATTTTCTTCAGCAAATATTCTAGGTTCCAACTTCCAGGATCTTCATTGCACCTTTCACCTCTCTCTCATTGCTTCACACCCTGCTGTCATGGGCTCCTGGCAGGAACTGTGACCCTATCACATATTTTTGCCTGGCCTCCAAGACCTCTTATTGACATCTGGGTGGAAGCCTCTATGATCCCATAATTCTTACATTTTACATGTCTGAAAAAACAGTACTAGGTAAATGAGGCCGAAGTCTGCTCTCTGCTTGAGCAGTAGCCAGGCCCCCCTGGAACATGGCTGCAAAGCTTCTGAGTACCTAAATGGCTGAAGACCACAAAATGAATCCCAGGGAACCAATTTCCTATGTGACTCTTTTCTCAAAGCAGAGGTTATACTTTGCACATCTGAGCCTGTGATGGGTGAAGTTTTTTTTGTTTTTTTTTGTCTTTTTCCTTTTTTTATCAGTACTGGGGATCGAACTCACGATTGCCTGCTTGCAAGGCAGGCACTTATACCGCTGAGCTAAATCCCCAGCCCCGATGGGTGAAGTATTACTAATTCCTAATACGCCCTCAAGACGTCTTTCTTCTTGTCCCTGAACAAAGTATTGGACTAATCTTTTGCAGCAGCCATCCTTCCTTTTGCCCCAACTTTGGCTTTCCTTGCTGGCAAAACTACAGAGTTTTGAGATCATTAAGTTCTGCTGTTTGCTCTTGATTCTCACTATAGATATGGCTAAAAAGTAGACAGAAGTATCCTTGTCACAGCTTTTATATTGGGTGCCTTGAAATTTCCCTCACCAGATTATTCTACTACCCTTAATTTCAGTCTTCTAAAACTTCTCAGAACATGAGCAAAATGTTGAGAGATTTTCTGCACAACCTCTATTATAACTGCCAGTGGAGTCCTTGTTTCCACCTGAAATAGGACTTCATTGTTTGCATTCCTGGAAGCATTCTGGCCTTCTGAGCTCTAACCAGTATTGCACATCAAGCACTGCTCACAACATTCTGGGGCTTCGCTAGCTCCATTCCAAATCTTCCCATGTTCCTCCCACAAAGCCAAAAGTTTCTAAATCACTTGGTCAAGTACAGTCACAACAATGACTGCATCCTCAGGACAAATTTTGTTATATTAGCTTTCCTTTTACTGGAACAAAATACTTGACACACACAACGTTTATTTTGGTTCACAGTTTCAGTGAAATCCACTGATAAATATAGTACCCCCACAATCTAATCACCTTCTAAAAGCCTCAGCTCTGAACATGAGCCTTTTGGGGTATATTTTAGATCTAAAGCATCACAAGTACAATTGGATTTCACTAAATCAAAACCCACTGATATTAATCTTAAGTATTTACATAGCTGTATTATTTATACAGTCACTTTCTCAAGTTACTTGTGTTTTCAATTTTTATGAATTAAGGTTTAGAGAAACTTTAAAATCTCAGTAACTGAATAATAACAAAAATGATAATGATTATTTTATCATCTGCTTGACATTCCATAAATTTATGTGGTTTATCTCATATAATCCTTTAACTGCATTATGAAATACAAATATTATCTTCATCCACATTTTAGCTATAAGGAATTGTGTTTTAGAAAGTTTGAAGATTAGTAAATAACAGAGATAAGATATTTGAATAAGATTTTCTAATTGCAAAAAATGTTTATGCTTATCATTTATTGCTAAGTAGACTAAGGCTGCTACCAAGCAAAACACTTTGAAAAGGCTCTATAGTTCTCTTTTAGGAAAGTGCATTTTCAACAACAGAGATTAAGCCTGAATTTTAGTAATACTCAGTTAAGCAATTATCATTTTTAAACTTTAAAGAACGAGAATTGATTATATGATGAAATGAAAAGCTACTTTGAAGAAAAAGAGACACTGTGGTATAACCATTGCTGATACCATCATGCTGTGAAATCCAGTAATGTTTTTATTCTTTGTTTGGAGTGGTTTTAGTCTGTTTTATTTAATTTCAACATGAAAGTATGGACAGCTATTTTGAAGAAAACGAGACATTATGGCAGCCATGTTGATTATCCTATTGTCTGGTTTTGAAGGCCTCTAATGCCTTTATCACTCTGTTCTGATCAGTTTAATTTATTTTGTTTTATATGAATTCATTGTATGTGAAGATACGGACAACTATTTAGAAGAAAACAAGAAACATTATGGTAGCCACTATAGATCTCCTGTTATCTTGCTTTGAAATCTGTGTCAGTGACATTGTTTTCTTCTGATCTGCTTTGTTCTGTTTTGTTATGTTTAGTTTTACCCCCTTTAAAATAAAAAATAAAATAAGCTTTAAAGGATTTCTAGTAATTCTTATTTTCTTGATTGGTTTTAAATATGATTTTTCAGTTGTAAAGTGTTGTTTTGTTAAATATTATTCCTTGCCTGGAGGTTTTTAAAGGTTTAGAAAAAGCAAATGCCTTGCCAAAATTTTTATTGAGTCTATTTAGAATCTAAAACAGGCAGGCTGTTTTTTTCAGTGCTGGGAATGGACACTAGGACACTCACACATGCTAGACAAGCACTCTAGCCTATATTCTTAGACATTTTTACTTTTAAAGATAGATTTTTGCCAAATTGGCCAGGCTAGACTCAAACTTGTGGTCCTCCAATCTCCCAAGTAGCTAATATGGTAGGTGTGTACCAGTGTACTGAACTAAATTAGGCAGTTTTTAGAATCTTTTGGGGGGTGATATATTTATTTAAAATTTTTATCTGTCCATCTATAGATTAAATTAAAGTATTAATTTAAAGTACATTATTCTTCATTGTATATCAGTGAACATGAATTTAAAAGTAGCTTCTAAATTATAGTACAGTTTGTATATCTTTAAAGATTTCGAAGAAAATTACATTGACAAATAATAATAGCTTACATCCTCTCTTACAGATTTTATTAAACAAAGAAGAGCAGGACTGAATGAATTCATTCAGAACTTAGTTAGATATCCAGAGCTTTACAACCAGTAAGTAATTTTCATTGTAGTCTAAATCTAATATTGTGAAACCAAATATAAGAATATTGAATAAGTCTACTACAGATTTATTCTGTGAAATGCTATTTTTTGTTAGTATACATGCATGGTATTTATACTCCTTGTGGGAGTTGGTACATGTACCTGATAAATTTTAATTCTTTTTTTCCTTCCCTTTCCCTTCCATCTGTTGATCCTTTTCTTTTTGTACATATTTGCAGTACATGTTTACATTCCTTACGTGGAGTTGGTACATACACATTTTAATTCTTTTTTTTATTCTCTGTTGCTCTCTTTCATCTCTTCCCATTTGAGAAAGATCTGTCTCCCTATTTCCAATTACCTTGCTTTTATTTTGCTTTGTATCTTTACTTTGGGTTTTTCATATGAGAGAAATTATGTCATATTTAAGTTGTGTGTCTTATTTATGTGAAATGCTATTGTGCTATGTGTGTTTGTAAGACTTCCTGGAGCATTTCCCCCTAATATTCTTAATCCTCTTTTGCCTTTCATCAGCTCAGCTTACTTTTCTTTCTTCCTTTCCTTTTTTCCCTTTCCTTTTCTTTCTTTTTCTCTTTCTTTCATAACTGTTTTATAGATTAAATTTGAAAAAAAAAATGTATATTGTAGTTAAAACATTGTGCTGAATATTTGATATTTATGCCTTTGAAAAACATTAGTGCCTCCTGTGAGCACCTTATTCTAATTTTATTTCCGAATAGCTTATAGAAAAGTACCCATATCGGGGCTTGGGATTTAGCTCAGCGGCATAAGCACCTGCCTTCCAAGCAGGCAGTCGTGAGTTCGATCCCCGGTACCCGTAAAAATGAAAAAGACAAAAAAAAAAAAAAAAGAAAAAAAAGAAAAGTACCTATATCATGACTGTACAGCTCAATGAGTTATAAGAAAGTAAACACATTCCAGTTACCACCCACTTCCCCTGGCCAAGAAATAGTTACATGCTTAGGTCTCTGAAGCCCCTCAACTTTACTCAACTTCTGTTCTGTTTTCCTTTCCAAAGGTGACTCTTCTGATTTTAACGTGTGCCATTTTCACCTTCATGTAGAGTTTTGACTGTTGGGATTGTTATTTTGACAAGATTGAGAGATACTAGTAGCCTAAGCACGTTTCTGGCTGTGTCTGAATTGTAACCGTGGAACTGTGTCTGGTTCTTCGCCCTTTCCCTTCCGGTATTGTTCCCTTACTCCCTCTGCTGCTGGCTGCTGTGAACTGAGAAGCTTTGCTCCTCTGTTCTCTTCTGCCGTAATGATTATTGCATGGAGACAGCTGAACAGGGACCAAAACCCCTAAAATCTTGAGCCAAAAATGATCTAAGTCATGGGTGCCGGGTATTTTGTCCCAGCAATGACTTTACCACAGTTTATTCAATTCTGCTGGTAGACATTTGAATTAAATTTAATTTTCATGCATTTCATTTGAACATCAAAAAATTGATGATATCATTGGAATTACATATATGATTTTCAGGAGAGATTTTTAAAATTAAATTTACTTGATTTGAATTATTTTAAGCCTTCCAGTACAGTCTCTTAAAACTGATTTTTAGGGAGGTTATGACAGTTTGTATTCTGCTAACACCCTGTGAACATCTGGAAGGCTTGCAGCTTTGGTTAGCATAACACTAGAACTGTGTTTAGCATTTTCAGGAGAGCCTTTAAAGTGTATCTAACTTTTATGTAACTTATCTAACTTTTATCTAAACTATTATAAATGCTACTACAACTAACAAAGTCTTGATGAACACATGCAAACACTTGTAAAGTTTTTAGGCCGTAGGGTATTTATATGTATAACCCTAAGGAATAATAACAAGTTGTTATCTAAAATGATTGCCAAATTTATTTCCCTTATCAATGTATGAAACCACATTGTTTCACCAGTCACTTAAGTGTTGTTAGTCGTACAATTTTAGCTATTCAGATGAGTGAATAGTGGTTTCTTTCTGTTTTGTTTTTTGTTTTGAGTGTTGTTTTGGGTTGCTTGTTTGTTTGTTTTGTTTTTTGACACATGATCTTGCTGTGTAGTCCAGACTAGCTTCAAGTTCACTATCTAGCATAACCTGGCTTTGAACTACCAGGAGTCCTCCTACCTACCTACCTACGTAAGCTTTCTTCTGAGTGCTGAGACTACAGACATATGTCGCCAAACCCGGCTTCTTATTGTTGCTTTAATTTGTTTCACTGATTACTTATACAGTTGATCAGAGATGTTAATATAAAGTTATTTATATCATTAACATTTATTGCTAATCAAGGCTAAAAGAGTCATCATGATGTTCATATATACTGCTGAGAATATACATTGGTATAGCTTCCCTAGAAATCTGGGTTTTTAAGGACCAGATTATATTTATTGAGAGAAAGAAAGCTTCTGTCTAAGAGAGAGACAAAAGGGGTTGTCAACGACTCTTGTCTTTTCTAGGGACTTTTGTAGAGCAAAACCACAAGGTGAGGCGGGGTCCACAATAGGGGAAAATGGAAATTTACATGGCAAGTGGGCATGACAAAACATGGTCAGCCAATAAGATTACAAGTGTAATTGCTTAGATAAAATTGATGAAATCGGGATCCAATGAGGAAGCCAGTCTTGTAGCAAGTAGGCATGAATCCAGAATAGGGCCTTTGCATATAGGGGGTTGGGTTAGTGACTCCTTCTGGCCTCCTCAAAGTATCAAGGTGATACCTATTTAGAATATCAGTCCCCGAAGTTTATTTATCTTAGGGGTTGGGTGCTTTTGTTTTATCTTTTTTCTTGAGATTTGGCCCTCAGTGGAGGCGTTTTGTTTTCTCCCATAGTGGCAAGGTATCTGGTCTTTTCCACTGGCTCCTTTGAGGGCTTAGCCCTATCTGCCTGCCTATAATACTACTTTCTAACTCAGCTGCCTGTAACATTCCTCACCTCTGAAAAAGTACCAGTGATCACTTCTTCAGGTTGAAGGGGGTTGTAGTTGTTGTTCGGCAGTCAGAGATACTCTACAGAGGGTCTATCTAATGGTCCTCAATAGACATCACACATTTTTATCTTGGATAAGTGTATAGCTTTACGTAACACTCAGTTTTTATAATTGCACAAGTACCTTTTGTGCTGTTAGAATGTCCAATGTCATCTGATTTTGGAGGACAATGTATCATTAATTTTACTTCATTTAGGACAGAGAGACTAGCGTGGTGTTATTTAAGGCCTGTTGAGTAGTTAATTAAGGCCTCCATATGTGTCACATTACTCTCTGGATAAGATCTGGTGTATCCCGGTTTAAAAAAAAATTTAAAAGGAATCTAGCATATTTGTTATTGATTTTATCTGTGTGATCACTTGGGGTTTGACATCCTTAAGGCAAGAACAAATTTCAGTCAAAGCATGTATAACCAAAGTATGTATATAAAGGCGTGTATAATCAAAGTAAGAGCATTAGAGCTAATAAGTAAGTTTTAGAAATTGTTTTTAAGGGACAGCAGTTGTGCCCCCTCCCCTGTCTCTTAGGTCCCTTTAATGATGGAGTCTCACATTTTGTCGTAAATTCCTGTAGCTTTAGTTACAGTTATCTCTAAATTTTTGATGACCTATGAAGAATCAGATTAATACATTATTTTGATTCATGAAAAACTCAAATTTTTATATATGAACAACAATAGATACTGTTTGTAAAAACAAGTCTGAGCATCATTGGTTAATTGTCAAGTTGTATATATATTACAGTATTTAGATAGGTTAAAACTTAGAAATCAGTTTTAACAGACTGTATTTGAAGCCTTAGAATAGTTTATAATTGAGACCAAGTAATTTTAAAAGTCTGTCCTGAAAATCATAAATGCAGTTGTACTGTTATGTACAAAGATTACAGTTTTAGCCGTAGAAGTGAAAGTTATGTATTAAAAGTTGGAAAGTGACAGTTCATAGTTCTTTTAGTATATTCACTATGCTGTACACTCATGATTACTATCTAATTCTGTCACCCAAGCTTAATCTAGCATTTCTAACACCCCAAAAAGAAATGGTACCTCCAGATCTCTCTTTTCCTCCAATACTTGGCAATCTATTATCAGTCTCTAAAGCTAGCCTGTCCTGGAATTTATGTTTAAATGAAGTTATATGAGATACGATTTTTTCTTCTTTTGTTCATTAAGTATGTTTTTGACATGTTGTTAACATGCATTTTATTACTTTTAAGATTGAGTAACACTCCATTGTATTAATATGCCATATTTTATTTACCCATTTAACAGCCAGTTCAGGACTTTTTGGCTGTTTTGAATAATTCCATTATTATTTCAAGGATGAGTTTTTGTGTGAATATGTTTTTATTTCTCTTGGTTATATACGTGAGAATGGACCTACTAAAGTATGTAGTAACTCCATGGTTAGCTTTTTAAAGACTATTAAACTTCTCTAGCGTTTGTACTAGCCCACCCTCTTGAAAAAATAATTTTTCATCTTTCAGTTTTTCTGTTTCTATTTATTGAATTATTTAGAATAATTTGGTGTATAAGTTCCAGATACATCGATTTAGCCATTCCTCAGAATTGTCATTAGTACATACACAACTCTAATTTTATTCCACTTTTATTCTTTTTTATTTTATATCTTTGTAGTGTTGCCATTCTGCATACCTACTTTAATATGCTTGTGTATTTGATATCTCTGTGTCTTAGAAAACTTTAAGCTGACTACTGTGTCTGTATTTAATATATACATAAATGACACTGCGCCCTGTTTGTTCCTTTCTTTCTGCCTGCTGACTGGCATTCTTCTCTATAAGCAGTTATCTATACTTCTTTTTTTTTTTGGCACCAGGAATTGAACTCATGACCTTGCACTTGCCAGTCAGGTTTTGTACTGCTGAGCTATATCCCTGTCTCTGACTTACTAATTTTCCTGGTGGTAAATTTCTGTTTTGTTTCCAATTCACTGCTGTAGTGAGTGAATGAGTGTATGAGTGTCTTGGTTACAAGTCTTTCATTAGAACTGTGCATAATTTTTGGTGGTTTGTAGAATTGGAATTTTGAGGTCTAGAAAAAATCCTTACAGTTTCACCAAGTTTCACCAAGAATCACCAGATTACTTTTCAGAAAAGCTATTTAATTCTGCAATCTCACCAGCAACATATGAATTTTTTTTCCTATATCTTTATTTAACTTTTTGTATTTAAAACTTTTGCCAGTTAATAGACATAAAGTGGTAACTCATTGTCAACTTAATTTGTCTTTCTCTGATTGCCAGTGAAGTTAGCATCTTCACAAATTTACTTATTATTTGAGTTTGTCTCCTATTAACTGCCTATTTATTATATGTTTGTCTGTTTTCCATTTGGTGCCTGTTTTTAAAAAAATTAATTTGCTTATTTCTTTTAAAATAATAGTAATGTATTTTGATTAGCTTTTTTACTATATGTGCTAATATTGTGACTTTTGATTTCATTTTAAAAGAGAGAAAGGCTGTAGATGTGATTTTATATCATAATAAAGTTAATTCTTGTTTTTAGTCCAGATGTTAGAGCATTCCTTCAAATGGACAGCCCAAAACATCAGTCAGATCCATCTGAAGATGAGGATGAAAGAAATACTCAGAAGGTAGTAAGAAGGCTTGTACTCTTTAACAGAAAAAAAATACCATTTCCCAAAGATAAAATAAGTTAACTTTAGGAAAGTATTTGCTCAAAATGAAGTAATTTCATTTGTAGTAGATTTTGTACTTTGTAGACTTCTAAAAACCACTTACTGATCAGTATTTCTTATAAAATTTATAAGATTCATAGAACCAACATTTTTATGATTAAAAATAAAATATAGATTAAAGAAAGATATGAAAGTAACAGGTAGGAAGGCAGGTGTTATCCATGTTGCCACCACCTAGAATTAGTAATTTTTAGCACTTGAATGGTTTTCCTTTCCATTATTCTCTTAATGTATAGGATTTCAAAGATATCTAAATTATATAATGTATATAATTGTACATTCTGCTGTCTTTAAATCTAACACATTTATTTTGAACATTGTATTTCTTTATCATCATCACCGTACCTGAAACCATTGTTTTGAACTTTGGTCAAGAAAGTTCCTTTCCCCAAGGAGAGGTGATAGCAAAAAAAAAAAGAGGAATTAAAATATAGCATATACAGTTAAAAACCCTGTATGATGAATATGATCATGATGTATATTTAAAATGTACCAATAAATTTAAGTGCAAAAACAAAGACCAGAAATAGGGTATTAGTATAACAAAAACATTTCTTACTCCATCCTTAAATGTCACTTAATTAGGAAATTCTGCACCATTATAATAAAAATACTTGTCAATTTTTTTTTTTTTTTTTTTTGTCTTTTTGAGACAGGGTCTCTCTGTGCAGTTCAGGCTATCCTTGAGCTCACTTTATAGCCTACGCTGGTCTTGAACTTGCAACAATCGTCCTGCATCAGTCTCCCCAGTGCTGGGATTACAGGCATGAGCCACCACGCCTAGCTATTTTTTAAAAATCATTCTGTTTTGAACTTCCATAATTTTCTAATTCATTCCTTACAACATAAAATAAGAACATCAGGAGCATCATCCTTACTCCATAAGTGCATAAGTGTGAATAGGAAGATAAAGTAACTAAGACTACATTTACTAACCAAAGGAACAAGTTAAAACCCAGTCTGTCTGACTCATATTGGTATTTTGGCCTTTAATGGCTAAAAAACAAAACAAGGTTTAGTTCTTTATTATGTGTTATTGATACATTCTTAGAGATCCAGATATTCAATATCCTGAAAATATCACAAAGTGATGAATCTTGCAACCTGTACAAACTATTCTCACTTGTTGAACAAATGACAGTAAAAAAACACAGATATGTGGAACATTTAGATTGACTTCCACTGATAAAAAGCATTAGCATTGTATGTGACAAATACTAGAGAATAAAAAATAACTTTTCCAATCTGATATTTCAAAAGTATTTTATTTAAATCAGCACCAACATGGTTAATCTTTCACTTTTTATGTTGACAGAATTAATGATAGTGAATGTACTTGAAGAAAGAGTTCAGTAGCCTAGGAAGTATCTAAAAAAGAAGAAAGCCTATTCATATATCATAGATTTATTCAAAATTGTTCTTTAAAGAAAGGTTAATTATGTGCACAGTTATACTAATACCCTGTTATGTGCACATTAATTATGTGCACAGTTCACATTACAGAGTATATCTAAAATACTTTGAGATAGTCCACTACGAATTTGTGGCTGTGTTACACTGGGCGAGTGGTTTTCCTCCTCTAGTATCACTTCTGTCTTCTGTAAATTAGGATAAGAATCAATATCACGTTAAAATTTTGAAGTCAGTGTATAAATTATGCATGTACATAGAACATTTTAAAAAGTGCCTTTCAATCAGAACAGATATATACACACACACATACATACATATACATACTTTCTGTGTATTATCAGGTTTTTATTTGTATAGTGATTAATGCACATGTTGCTACCTGGCATCACCGAACTTTTAATTCTACTGCATGTGTACATAGTATATTTTAAAGGGCTGGTTAGTCTTTGAAGTGGATCATAGTAAGCAAATAATAAACCTGTATCTTATCAAGATATTTCCAGGATTCACCTTTGAAAGGTATTGGAAAAGTGAATGATAATAAATTTACGTCAATTTAAGGAAGTTTCTATTCATTTACTAACTTTGAGTTTGATTTCTGGCTTATCTTCTTTGCTTTATAACTGCTCTTGAAAGTTATCATTGTAAAATGATTGTTTATGTATGTTTCCAAGGAAGTTTATAGACTTACTAAGAATTTGGACCTTACGTTTCTTTAACATGCATTCGTATCTATAGTACAGTTATGTATATTTTGTTTCAGAACATTCATTGGGTGGTATATAGTCTGTGAAGCTCCAGTAAGAATACCTTTGTTTTAATGCTATGTTTATTTCCCCCACTACGTCTAAACAGCTACACTCTACCTCACAGAACATCAACCTGGGACCAACTGGAAATCCTCAGTAGGTTTGATTTATCTCAAGCAATCCTTTAATTAAACTTTAAGAGGCTCATTTTTGAGGTATATGTAATTATAAGTTTAATTAGGTATATGTAATTATAGCAGTTTAATTATGAAATACAACCATAGTTATAAGAAATACATAATACTGTCATGTGCTTTGAGTAACTCACATTGCTTTAGTAGAATCCTAGTAAGGAGCTATTTTTTTAATCCACAAATAGTTCATTGGATTCTGGTATTTTGCATTGTTATTTTTCTGGTTTTATTTTGTGTATGTATGTGAAAAGTCATTTGTACATGTTTCCAAGGGCCCATAGTCCTGTAGAGTATTCTAAAAACAAAGATATCCCTGCAGGTCTAATTGATACATTCTCTTGATGCTCACACTCAGTGTCGTTGCTACACACTAGTAACTCAGCCTGTTCCAGAAAAGTAACAATGGATGTCAGTATATTAAAGAGTATTAAAATTTATGTAATTTGGGGGCTGGGGATTTAGCTCAGCGGCATAAGCACCTACCTTGCAAGCAGGCAGTCCTGAGTTCGATCCCTGGTACCGATAAAAAAAAAAAAATTTATGTAATTTGCACCATATTTCTATATTTATTTGAGTACTTGGAAAATATTTTAAGGAGTACAGTCTGAAGTGCCGAGGTGGCAAAAACAGACTTCCTCTTGACCGCCAATCCCAGTGATTCATTGAAAGTGAATACCTACAGCATCTAATACAAAAAATTCTACTGCTGCTTGACTCAGTTCAAGGAGTGCCCAGATGGATTAGTGATGTGAGGTCGGCCATAGGTTGGAGAAGGAGCATAGTGGTGCCATCCTTACTTTGTAATTATTATCCTCACAGGATTATTAGAGTAATTTTGAGTATCCTTTTACCCCAGAACAACAGGCTTTCTCTATCTTTTTTACTTACTTGGAGAGAGTACAGACACATGGGAGAAGTGATCAGAGCCAGGGCTGGGTTCTAGGACACCTCAATACTATGAGATCAAGGAAGAAGTGGTAGTGGGTACTGAGAAAGAATAGTAACATAGGAGGAATATGAGAATAGAATGTCCTGAAATAAGTAAAAGATGTCGTCTCAAGGTAGAGAAAGTATTTATAATTAATTCTATTAATGTTACTGATCAGGCAAGTAATACAAAGATTGAAAATTGGTCACTGAATTTGATAAGTAAGTCACTGGTGATTTTTACAAGCAGTTTTATTGTTGTGGTTCTAAGACCTTGATAGGGAAGGGTTCGGGGGGAGAGCTAGAAAAGAGGTTATCTAGAAAAGTAGTGAGCTGAAACATTTTTGCTGCATGGGATGATAAAGAATGGGATGATAACTGGAAGAGAGTGTTTGGTTTTGAGCATTCTTTTCTGCCATTCATAACATTGAACAAGATTCTATCACAAAATAGAAGTTTTCAATTAAGATTCATCATTAGCAGTTAGCAGTGAGGCCTTGGCCTGTTTGCTATTTCAAGTGTTCACCTGATTTTTCAGTTACACTGTTTGTTTCACTGTTATACTGTTTCACTGTTTGCTTGCTTTTGTTTAAAAAAATTTTTTTTCATTATCTCAGGCTTCATTAAAGAACAAAATAGTTCAAAGAGCAGGTTTCTGAAGAAGAGAAAACATCTTAATTTAGTTAAATATTTATCTCACTAATCTTAATTGTTATGGTTTAACCTAGCCCCCTCGTGTTACTCTCTTGTTTGAATTGACTAGTTTTCTTTAATAATCAGTTGAAGAAAACTTCAGATTTGGGGCTGGGGATTTAGCTCAGCGGCATAAGCGCCTGCCTTGCAAGTAGGCAGTCGTGAGTTCAATCCCTGGTACCAATAAAAAGGAAAAAGACAAAAAAAAAAGAAAAAAAGAAAATTTCAGATTCATTTGGAGTTATTCTTTCTAGTACAACTAAGGAATTCAGACTGTCTTGAAGAAAACAGCTTTTCTGGCTACTTAAGCTCAACTTGCTGCTTCCATGTACACCTGTCCATATATAACCAATGTTTTTACCTAATAAATTAAATAAAAAGACCATCTTAGTTTTCCTTCTGGCTTTTCTGTTCTGGCTTTTTTATATCACTATCCATAAGAATAGGTTGAGAGATCTTTCATAATGTATGATAAGTGATCCATATTTAACACTGAGGCTTTTTTCTCCATTGGAAAGTTTTAGCACGTTTATGTGTTGCAACTACTAATTTCATTTTCAGAAGAATTACCAGAGACTAGAGAGTCTTTGGAATGTATCAATAGTATATATAGTTTTTCGATTTCTTCACAACATTGGTGAGATTCATGGTTAAGAAAAATGGCTTAGAAGCTACTTTGAGTGCAAAACTATTATGTATGTATATCTAGATATATATTTAGATATTTATGTTTGTATGTAGACATACATATCTAAATATATTCCTCCTTTTCCCCTAAAGAAGGTATTATTGAACTTTTTAAGTAGAACTTAATGAGGCTTACAGAGTTATAAAATATTTTGTCGTTGTTAATTTATTTCAGTGCTAAACCATCTGACTTTGACTTTTTAAAAGTTATTGGAAAAGGCAGCTTTGGCAAGGTAAGAGTGTTTTTAACTTTTCGTTCAGTGAATAAATACTTAAAGAATGCAATTTTTATATGTGTAAGCCACAGGACATTTTTTATATGAGGAATAGATTAAAGTGACAGAACAGTACACAGTAGAGATAAGATAGGATGGAGAAAAATTCATGGGTTGATCGAGGATGCTTCTTTGAAGATGTGCTAATAAGCTGAGGCTACAAAGACAAAAATGAGCATCTATATGAATAACAGTTGATGACGGGAAAGCATATAAAGACCCTGCTTACTCTCATACAGTATCAGATGAATCATACAACTTGACACCACAGCTGCGCCAAGGAAGGAGTTTAACCCTTAAGGTCAGAATTATTAGGGAAAGCATTATAAACGAGTTTATCAGAATCATCAAGTATGTTTTAAGTATTTTGGGCATTATTTTCAAGTCTGTAGTAGAAATGAATATTGCTGTAGATTGGTGTCTCTAGTTTGTTTTCTAAATTCCCTTATGACCATACAAGTAAATCTGTGTGTTTATCAATTCACCAAATATATATTGACAGAACACTTTGTGATACAACCAATAGAAAATTAGAAAGATCCTACTGTCTACATACTTTAGTCTATTGCAATTCTAGAGCGTCTTACATTAAAAACAGAAGCATTAGGAATGGTGGCACATGCTGGTAATGTAAACTACTTGGAAAGTTTAGGCAGAGGATTGTGAATTCAAGCCCAGTCTGAACAACATGGAAAGATCTCATTGCAGAAATATGACAGCAGAAAATAATATCTTTGGGGAACTTTATGCTTAGATCCAGAATCCACCGAGATTTCTTTCTTACATATAATATGAGATGCAGGATCACAGTTCATTTTTTAATATATGGATATGTAGATTATCTTACAAAATTTATAAAAAAAATTTTCCCCATTGGTCTGAAGGGACATTTTCATCATATATCTAGTGTTTATATATGAACAGATTTGTTTTTAGGCTTAATTATTGTATTTTTGTTTCTAGATTTTATATTGTCTTCCATTGATCTGTTTATCTTGACACTTAGTGCCACATTGCCTTAACAACTAAGTCCTTTGCTCCTTGTTCTTTCTTCAAGAGACTATTCTTAGCTTTGTACACATTTTAGAATGTCAGTTTTTTACAAAAAGTTGTATGGAATTTGATTATGATCACATTGAATCTATTGGTAAATTTGGGGGGAATCAGCATTTTTATAATGTTGAGTCTTCCAGTCTATGACCATGGTATTGCTTTTTGTTAATTTAGCTCATGTAGAATTTTTTCAACAATATTTTATAGTGTTGTGTATAGAATTTGTACATATCTTTAATTAGTTTTATTCCTAGTTGTTTCTTTTCTTTGCTGTTAATTATTGAAGCTGAATAAATGTATATATTACCTGTGACACATTGGTTCTACTCCTTGCTGGCTATCCAACAGAAATGAAGTTGCACTAGAAAAAGCATATTTAGGCATACCCATGCTATCATTATCATTAAACAGTTTAGCTATCATATATATTGTGATGATATATTCTGCACAACAATGAAAATGAGAAAATTATGCTACATGCTATAACTTAAACATTATATAATTCTGAAGAGACACTTTTATATGACTAATTGTACAAAATTTTTAAAAAGCAAAATTTCAAGTTATTGAATGTTAAGATAGTTGTAATTACCTTTGAGGAGGATAGTCATGACTGGGATGAGGCAAAAGGGAGGCTTCGGGCTACAGGCGTGTTTTATTTCACTTAGATAGTGTTAAGATAGGTGTGTTCACTTTGTAATAATGTATCAAGTTACAATGTTTGTGAGCTTTCCTATATATATGCTATTTTTAATAAAAAAATTTTAAGTCTTAGAAAATGGTTAGAAATCAGCATAGTTCAATAAAACAAAGAAAAACAGTGCACAAAAAAGTAAACAAATTCACATAAAAATACATGATAAATAGCATAAATAATAGAGATCTAACATTTATTCTAAACTAACTCTTGTAGTTTGGTTCCACTTTCCATTTGCCTATTTGGTGTTTAACCTTTTGTTCACCAAATCTGACAGCGTACTGAAAGGAGAAAAACCTACTTGAAGGGAAGCAGTACCTTCTAATTTTCACATTCTTTGAATTATTTTCTCAATGTGTACTTGAAGGTGAACCAAAGTATTGGAAAAGGAAAGGTCAAGCAGGTAGGAATTGTCAAGAAAAGGAAAAATTTAAGAAGTAATATTGAGCATAACAAAAGAGAGAAATGGGAAGAATATACTTGAGGAAAGACATTTTTATCCTAAAGGTAATTTGACTCCATCTTTGAGTAACGAAAATATTTTAAGAGACTTTATTTTTAGAACAGTTTTATAGAAAAATTAAAGTCCAGAGAATTTTCAGTACTCCCAGTACCCTTTAACACAATTTGTCCTCTTATTAATACCATACACTGTATGGTACCTAATAAACCAATATTGATACATTATTAGTAACAGGAGTTCATCATTTATTTACTTTTACTTAATATCCTTTTCCTGTTTCAGAGTCCTATCTAGGATACCACATTGCATTTAGTTGTCATGTCTCCTTAGGTTTCTCTAGACTGCAATAATTTCTCAGATTTTAGATGGCCTTGACAATTTTGAGGCGTACTGGTCAAGTATATTGTCAGATGCTCCTCAGTTTTTAAATGTTTCATTTATTTTTGCCTGATTAGAAAGAGTTAAGGTTTTGGCAAGAAAATAGAAGTCTTAGCATTGTCATTAGTCATTGTGTCAGATCATTTCAAAAATGTTGGAATGTGTCACACAAATCACTAAGTTGTTGGTGGTCTTGAGTCACAGAGTCATATGTCACTTAACAATAAGAACACATTCTGAGAAGTGTGTTCTTAGCTGATTTCATTGTTGTGCAAATATGAAATACGTACTTTCAAAGACCTGCATGATACAGCTGCTGCTGTATCACTACTGTATATACCTAGGCTATATGAGTATACCAGTGGTGGTGAACCTAGGGGCACATGTGCCACAGTGAACATTCAGAGCCCTCTTTTTCTGCACATGAGCAAACTCCCCAGCCAAGGTTTGAAAAATTATCAACATGTGTATAACATCAAAGATCACATTAATTGTGGAAAAGCACAGCAAATGCAAACTTTTACCTTTAAATAAAAGCCTGTTTGTATCATTGAAAGCTTACCATGTTTTTCATTTAAGACAAAATATGTTAATATAATGTGAGATTTAGTTCTTTTCTGAATTAGAACCTCAGTATTCAGATTTAATTGCAGTGCTGGCACTTCCCCATAAGTAAGTGGGTTTGGGTTGCATTTTGGACACTCAGTCTCTAAAAGGTTCACCATGTCCATCATTGACCAGAATATTGTGCAGCACATGCCTGTAGTGATATGTCTACTTTTTTCTTGGGTGAGATCCTCAAGATTTCTTTAGATTCTTAAAGAATGTCTGAATACAACTAGGCCACTATAGAAACTCAGCTATACATGATAGTTATTCTGAATTCTTCTAAATTATAAAATCTATAGGAAAGCCTAAGTATAAAACAGCAATGTACTTTTATCACCTAAAATCATTCCTTTATATAGCCATTAAGGTTTTTTGTTGTTGTTGTCGTCGTCATTGGTGTTTTGTTTTGTTGTTTTGTTTTGAGACATGGTTTCACTATGCAGTTTGAGCTGGCCTTAAACTCACCTTGTAGCCCAGTCTGGTCTTGAATTCACAGTGATCCTCCTGCCTCATGCTCCCAAGTTCTAGGATTACAAACACACACTACCAGACCTGGCTGTAGCCATTAAGTTTATAGCTTCAGTATTTTCAAAGTACACGAGGCTGGAACACATGTAGATATACACATGTACACACACAAACACAAACACAGAGACATCTCAAGCAGGTTAGATGTTGGTACTTAAATTCAGTTAAACTTATCAACACAGTAAGTGACAGAGACATAGTACTTGGCTGTTCATATGATCAATGTCTTTTTTATATAAATACTTAAAGAAAATGGAATTATAGAAATGAATTCAATAGTTCTCAGTATTCAGAGCAAAAACATTATTGGGTCCTTGTGGACTTTTCACAAAATTTAAAAGGTATTGTTTTATTGACAGGTGAATTATCCCTATGAAAATACTGCCATTTTAATAATTTATACAATCTTTATCACAGGTTCTTCTTGCAAAACGAAAATTGGATGGAAAATTTTATGCTGTCAAAGTGTTACAGAAGAAAGTAGTTCTCAACAGGAAAGAGGTAAAATAGCTATTATTTCTTCTGAGCCCATTGTCTTAATTGACAGAATTGATTTCTGATTATTTAACACAAATTGATACCTTGCCTTTTTTTCCAGCAAAAACATATTATGGCTGAACGTAATGTTCTCTTGAAAAATGTGAAACATCCATTTTTGGTTGGATTACATTATTCTTTCCAAACAAGTGAAAAACTTTATTTTGTTCTGGATTTTGTTAATGGAGGGGAGGTGAGTTTTACAATTAGCTTTCTAATATTGATGGAAATGTTAGAAAAATAGCATAAAGTAATAAAGGTTTTCTTCTAAGTTTTAAAATGACAGTGTATTATCAATAGCTATTTGTTTAGTAGAAACTATATCAAACAACTAGCTACAATGCAAGATGTGGAGAAGTATTGTACAAAGACTGTCAAGCATACAGTATTGCTGGGAACATTTGTAAAAGAACCTTGGTACAAAGCTACAGACTTCATTGATTGATTTGCTACTAAGCTTTATTGCAAGAATGACATACTGAAATATTAAAATAAAATGTGATTTGTGATTCAGATGGTTGTTTTAATAGTTACATATAAAACCTGAGCCTCTCACTTCTCAAGTGAACAAAATATTAATCAGTGAAATAACCCTTTAATAAAGAACCCTTTGGTAAACTTAGTTGGGAAATGCTTCCTTATATCACTGTCTTGGTAATTTAAATGTTTTTTAAGACTTTGAGAGGAGTCTTAAAGAATTTCTTAAAAGAAAATTACTATTTTTATCTCAATCTCCTTTTTGTTTGAATCTAATTTAATATTCCTCAGAGTTCTGATATGGAAGGATATTAAAATACATGAAAAAATACTGCTGCTATAATTATAGTAATGGTTACCTATATGCTAATATTAGGTATGTGCCCAGCACTCTGGCTCTTCATATTCTTTTGTATTCACAACAATTTTATGTTTAAGTTTTTTTGGCTGGTTTTTTTTAGTACCAGGAATCAAATTCATAACCTCATGCTTGCCAGGCACTTACACTGCTGAGCTAAATCCCTGGCCCTAGCTTCACAACAATTTTATAGGAGACTAAGAATCCTATAAAAAGGGAAGCCAAGTAGCTTGTGAAACTCATGTGCTATAGTTAGTTAGTAATTTTTTTTGTTTGTTTTTTGTTTTTTTGAGACGATTTTGCTGTATAGTTCAGGCTGTCCCTTAGCTTCCCAAGCAGATTAGATTACAGATGTATCCCCCATGCCTGGCTTATAAAGTGCCACCCTGTGTCTTTGAAATGTTCATGTAAGGCATCTTACTGTGGATAAGATCCTACTGCAAATTTCCTGTTTTATCTGTGGTTTCTTTGTGCTCTTTTAGGACTTTGCTTCTGAGCCATTTTTATATAATGGTCACCCATAAACTGAGCTGCAGAGGTGGAAAGTGTGTATCTAAAGATGCACTTGGCTAAGAGAATAAAGTATTGTAGGATGCAGTGATGGGTGGAGGAGTTGAGTGGGACTGTAGGTAGACAAATAAAGATGAGGGGAAAGGATAGAGGGAAGCAGAATGAGTATGGCTTATGCCTTCATTACTTTACTCTTGTTGCTGAGACAAAATACCAAAACCCAAAATGAAGGAAGGAAAGGTTTATTTCACTTACAGTTTGTGAAGGTTTCAGTCCATAATCTGCTGGGTCCAAGGCAGGGTGGCTCATGGTGATGGAAGACAGCAAAAGCAAAAAGGGAGGAGAGTGGAAAGAAGACTCTTTCTTTCCCTTCTGTTATATGTAGGCCGCACCCACTCTAGGTGGGTGTAGCACTCCCATAATCCCAGCTTTGGACCACGAGTCAGTCAAATTCTAGAAGCCTGCCCCCATACCTGGGGGCAGGCTTTGGGGGGGCATCCAGACACAAATTATAACAGTTTAATCCTGTGTTCCTTCGTATTATTGAATCCTAAGTCTTGCGCCTTAATTACTCAGCCATCCCTGTGACTACTAACCCATTGTATTATCCCACTGTATTATTAACCATTATTTCTACCTAATGTTCATCCTTATATTTTAACTTTGAAAAGATTTTTTTGTGTACTCCTTTGTCTCTTTTAGAGCAGAGTGTCAACAAATAAGTGTGTGATATGGAACAGATAAGCCTTTTTGAGCTTTAATTTACCCTTATTTCTGACCTCAAAATTATTGTATAGATTAACACAAGTAAATAAAATCTTTAGCATAGTGTCTTATTAGTGACAATCAGATTTTCCATTTTAGGTTTTTTAGTATTAATGTATTAGCCAAATGTGGTTAGGAGATCAATAAATAGAATATTAGGGTAGTGTGGGCCACAACTAATAAAGCCATGGCAGGGGTAAGAGGGGAGAAGTATTCCACAAATACTTTAAGGATAAAGCAGAAGAATGTATTTACTTGTTTGATGCAGGGACTAAAAAGTAATATAACAGTTCTGGTGAATCCAGAGAGGTTAAGGGAATTACACAAAAGAGATGAGCCACAATTTGAATCCATGTTTGATAAGCTCTGAATGCTTTTAATGTATAGAACCCTTTGATTCTTCTGTAGCTTAGAGGGCTGGAAAGAATACAAAGACATTAATAAGTCTGTGAAAGAAAACAAGGCTCTCTGTTTTAGATAGGTTAAATTCGATGACTTATAAAAAATTTTGATGACTTATACTTAAGAAAAAACATCAGGCAATATATAAAAGTCTTTGCAGTAGATGCTCCAAGAAGAAGTCTGGGAGGCTGGGGTTATCCATGTGGAAGACATCAACATACAGGTAGTGGTTTAAATCTTTGGAATGGAGAGACCTGGGAAAGATATTTGGCAAAAGAATAACAATGGACTGAGGGTAGAAACTGTCATCACTTCAGTGTCTAGTGTCCAAAAGGATCACAGATGGAACCAGACAGGAGCAGACCCACAGGCATAGAGCAAACTTTCCTGAGGCAGATAACACAATGGCCAATGGACTGGTTGTATGAAATAAATTAAGAATCAGAAAGTATGAGAAATGGAAAGTCCAGCTGCTGACCATCCCAGCTAGTTGCTACCACATTGAATTTAGGCCTAACAGTGCAGTGTGCCTCTCCCCCCCCCCACCCCTCTGTAAGAAATACGAACTATCATCGTTTAAGTCCCCAGCCTTCAAATCTTGTAGTATCCAGGCATAGTGGTAGATGCTCGTAACTCAACACTTCAGGAATCTGAGCAGCAAGTTTGAGCCTAGCATGGGCAACTTAACAAGACATGACCTTCCCTTCCCCCGGAAAAAAAAAAAATGGTAAAAACAATACAGGGATATAGCTCAGTACAAAGGTCCTGGTTTAAATCTCCAGTTCCAAAAAAATTTTTTTGCCAGTAATTAAATGGTAGTTCAAATTTTTTTAAACCAATATTTGTCAGAAATGGAGATATAGCCAGTGAAAGGATACTAGCCTAACATGCACAAAATCCTTGATTTAATCCCCAATACTGAAAAAGGAATTATCTCAAGTACATGATATCTGTGGGTTATATTTGTACTGATAGCCACTTACATTTGTCTTTTAATGAAAAAGCAGTCCATAAAGGCCCAGTAAGACAATCACATGGCAAAGACCACTGCTCCTCATTGATAACTCTTGTCTAGGGTGGTTGTCTGGAATGATGAGGATGCAGCCACATTGAGAATTAAAGACTCCATGGGAGAAGCATGAAGTTAGCAAGGGTAACAAAAATATGTATTAGAGAAAGATACAGTTAGTAGACAAGGGAGGATCACACCTCTGTGCTTTGGTACATATTTATTTCATGTTCATGATATCAGAAATAATTTCTAGCTTTGTATTTATAGAACACATTTATTTAACATTCTGTGTGAATGCTAACATTTCTACTTCCCAAATTTTGCAGCTATTTTTTCACTTACAAAGAGAACGGTCTTTTCCTGAACAGAGAGCGAGATTTTATGCTGCTGAAATTGCCAGTGCATTGGGTTATTTGCACTCCATCAAAATAGTGTACAGGTACATTGCTTGAGTATTATATATAAGAATATCTTTTTAATATTTTATTTCAAGTAATAATCAGGGGTTTTTTTCTTTTAATTTTATAGAGACTTGAAGCCAGAAAATATTCTTTTGGATTCAGTGGTAACTATTGTCTTTTAAAAATCTCCTAGTTGTGTTATTTCATTCCAAGTAGTAGGAAAAAAGAAGCTTCCGTACTACATGACTGCATTTATATAACATTCTCAAAATGATAAAACCACAGAGAAGAAATTAGTGGTTGCAAGGAAACAGGGTCAAATGAAGAGAGCACAAAGATAAATGAGTAGCACAAGGAGTTCCCTTGTGATGAAATAATTCTCGTTTGATGGCGGGTGTTACATGCATCTCTACATGTATGTTGAATAGAACTACAGTGTATACATATACACTCACCCAGCATGCATGTTTAAAATAGTGAAACTGAATAAGGTTAGTAGTCCAGTTAACAGTGTTGTACTCGTGTCAGTTTCTGTCTTGGTATTATGGTGCAGTGATACAAGATGTCAGCATTGAGGAAGCTGGGTGAGGGCACGTGGGACTTTATGTACTATTTTTGTAAATTCCTGTGGATCTGTAATTATTTCAAAATAAAAAGGTTTTTAAGATGGTCAGTTTGTGTTCATGTACTGTTTCATCTTACTGTTGTTGTATTTGTCAGGGACATGTTGTCTTAACAGATTTTGGGCTTTGTAAAGAAGGAATTGCCATCTCTGATACCACAACAACATTTTGTGGGACACCAGAGGTAAGAAATATATCTTGTCATTAATAGAATAATTTCTTAATGTAAATATGAAACATGCATCGCATATACAAAACTGGAATAAGGAAAGTAGAGTAAAAACTGCCATTTCAGCTTTCAGCCAGCTGTACTTCTAGGAAGTTAGGAATATTGATGTTGGTATTTTTCACTGGGATGATGAGATGAACCACAGGACCCTTTTGAATAGTCCAGAAAAGAATAAGTTATGTTTATTTATTTTAAATATTGAAAGTTTACCTTAGGCTTAGCATTTGGTTGTATTTCTAATCCTTTTTTCAAAAATCACAGATCAATAAAAATGTCCTAATATGTCAGAGGGGAAGATACACTTGTGGTAAAGGTTGCAGAGTCCTGTGCATATGTTACATTAAATCATACACAAAAAACAGCTATATTATATTATGGCGTGTGTGTGTGTGTGTATGTGGTATTGGAGATTCAGGCCTCTGAGGCTTTTCCTTTTTTTTTAGATTCTCACTAAATTGCCTAATCTGGCTCCATATTTATGGTACTCCCACCTTGGTCTCCAGAGTAGCTAGGATAATAGGATTACAGGCATGTGCCACTACATCTGGCATGACTATCTAAATGTAGCTGTGGTTTGGTTAGGGTTGGGTTTGGTTCGGTTCGGTTCAGATAAACTCAAGCAATTGGGGCCAAAAAATTAATGCCTGTGTCTGTGTAGCAGTTTTACTGGTTTCTATTATACTTTTATATGCGATTGGAGAATTTTGTACTTAAAATATTTAACAGAAAAGTTGATATGAAAAATCAGAAATCAGTTTATTAATCAGTATCTCATTCTCAAGTCATCTAGGAGAAAATTTTATCTTTTTTAAATTGTGACAATAATTATTATAACTTCCTTATAAAGGTTATTTTCACTTTATATGTATATACATTCAAGTATAGGTAATTTCAAATTACCCTAATATTACTGTAATTATACAGTGATCTTAGGTGCCAGCTAAGGAGGAATTACAACTACAGTATTGAAAATACAACTTGGATTTGACTCCCAGCACCACAAAAGAAAGAAAAAGAAGAGAAAATACATGATAAAATGATATACATAATAAATCTTCTAATTAAGACAAAAGTATCTGTTAGTGATAATTATCTTGACTAGTAATTTATTTCTAGAGTTCTCTCTTCTAACCCTAATTCATATATATACTTGTAACCCTTCATTTTGGTTTATGAGGAGAAGAAATTTTGTGTGAATGTGTGTTTTCATAGTTAACAATGTCTTTTTTAAGTCCTGTAGTTTTTAGAAAATATACCCAAGGTTTTTTGGTCACTTAAAATTTAAATGTGATCAGAAGTTATTAAACCCTTTTTATTTTTGTTATAATTTCTTTGGGATACATAAATCAAGGGAAAATTATCTCTATGTATGAAGATATTGTATATTTTGGAATCTAAAATTCAAATTTCTGTAAGTGTGAAAAGTTTTTTTTTTTAAATTAGCCACTTAACAAACTTACATATTTTTACTTAAGTTTGAAAATATGTCTGAAATAAGAATGCAGTTCAGGCTTCTTTCACTGAAAAGAAAAAAATGGTTTATAAATTGCCATATAAAGAATTCCTTCTTAAGCCAAGCCTAGCACCATGTATTTATATAGTCTCAGCTGTCTAGGAGGCTGAGAAAAAGGATCACTTGAGCCCAGGAATTTCAGGCAATAGGGTAGGGCCCCATTTCAAAAAAAAAAGAAAAAACTTGTTTCTTCAAGGAAAAAAATTACAAATTATGGTCAGGTGGACTTCTAAAAGTAAGTTATTCCGATGAAGGACTTGGTCACAAAATGCCTGCTCTAAGTACTCAGTATTATAGATCCTGCCTTTGCTGTTGTCTTCTGTGTCCTATTTGGGTCAGTTTCTGGGGGAAGTGCTTGAGCGTGTATTCCAGTTGTCACTGTCTAAGAACCACTGTTATAGAATGAGTGTGCACAACCCATTAGAAATCTAGAATTTTAAAAATTTGTTTTAAGTGCTATGGGTTGAACCCAGAGCTTTGTGCATGCCGAGCAAGTACTTTGTCATTGAGTTAGACCCACAGCTCATGTTTTTAATATCACTGTATAGGGTTGTAGGAGATGCCTCTGAAGAGGGAAAGAAGCTTGTCAACTCTTGTCATGGAAAAACACATCAGGATGTGTTAGTGTGAAGCATAAGCAGGCATATTCGGCAGAGTTAGAAAGTAAAAGAAAATAGGGAAGGGGCTTAAGTCTGAGGAACCAAAGGAGACACAGCTCTGATAGAGGATCAAACTGGCCTGTTAACAAAACATGAAACCAGTTTTTATGGATTTGTTGGGATGGGCTTGTCCGGTTGATTATTGTCTCAGTTCTGGTTTGCAGGATGGCACTGGGGAAAGTCATTGTTATTTAAGAGGGTAGCTCAGTCTCCTTGAGATGATTATTTCTGCTTGGGGTAGTTTCAGTGTTGTAGAGGCTCTGCTGGAATCCAAATGACTATAAGTTTAAAGCAATGACTGCAGACTTCTGGGCACTTATTTGTAGTTGAGTGTCTATAAATCTTATCTTGATGTTCTCAGTCTTAAAGAGGGATAAGATTGAGTTATGTAAATTTAGAGCTAATCAACCTTCCTAGCTTTTAGACAATCACTAAATGATTAACATGCCAGACTTCTGGAGTTGAGCAAGGATGTGCCCCAGTTTTAAGGTAACAACTGAAAATCAAGCATGTTTTTTTGTTTGTTTTTAGTTGCCTGTTGGGCATCTATAAGCTACAATTTATATTTACTAATTTTTAGCAAAAGCTGATTTTAGATCCCAGACTGCCTCAAAAGAAACAAATCATACTTTGACGATTAAAATAGTAATACTTCTGATCCTGTGGTAGTCTCTGACTGTATCAGTGACATTGAAAATTTGTTAAATTTCTCTGTTTTTTCTAAATTTTACCCCAAGTTTTACTGTTGCTGTGTTTCATTGTCTTCTATAGTACCTTGCTCCTGAAGTAATCAGGAAACAGCCCTATGACAACACTGTGGATTGGTGGTGCCTTGGTGCTGTTCTGTACGAAATGCTGTATGGTTTGGTATGCATTTCTTTTCTTTGATTAGTATTCCAATACATTATCATTGATTTGGCACAGACGCTTAAAAACTCACAGACACTTAGATAACAAACACTAACAGCACCTGGTTAAGTGATTCTAAAATCACATTACACATATGTACAAAAAGAAAACCTTTTACTTTGTTACTAGCTTTTTCTTTTTCTTTTTTTTTCTTTTCTCTTTTTCTTTTTCTTTTTCCGTTTGTTTTAGTACCAGGAATCAAACTCATGACCTTGTGCATGCCATGTAGGCACTTGTGGGGCTGAGCTAAATCCCCAGCTTATTGCTAGTTTTTAAAAGTAGTACTATTATTCTGTCATACTTATAACTACATAAATTATCTGTTTCCAGTTTAACCCAAACAGTTTCTACCTAATTTCAAACAGAGGGCAAAAAAAAGATTTTTGCATTTATCAGCATATTGTATTTCAAAAGATAGTCCTCTTTGGGTTTTGCCTTTTATTTTGTCTTTATAAGATTTAATCAGTACGGGGGCTGGGGGTTTAGCTCAGCGGCGTAAGCGCCTGCCTTGCAAGCAGGCAGTCGTGAGTTCGATCCCCGGTACCGATAAAAAGGAAAAAAGACCAAAAAAAAAAAAAAAAAAAAAGATTTAATCAGTACACTTGTGCTCAACTTTTTCTGTCCCTGGATGTCTTCTAGTTTTTTTTTTTCCTGAAAACACCATCCTTTAATGATATCATTGGGGGGGAAAAAAAGGAAAATGTATACTGTGCAATGGATTTGCTCAGTTTTTATTAAATAAAAACACATAGAGTAGGGGCTGGGGATTTAGTGGCATAAGCACCTGCCTTGCAAGCAGGCGGTCATGAGTTTGATCCCCGGTACTGATAAAAAAAGAAAAAAACAAAACAAACAAAAAACATACAGAGTCAGCCAGAACCTCCTGTTAAAGTGAAGAACATTGTGTTATTCTACTGAGATGGTATCACTCCAACCCATGCAAACATTTTTATTACTTAGTTTATAAAATAAATTGTTTTTCTCTAGACCTTTTGAAATATTTGGAATAATTTCTTAGACTCTTTGTGATTCCATAAGTATCCAGAAGCTTCATGCTAAGAACCATACTATAATCTGAGGTTGCTGCCAACACTGATACTAAATGCTACTAGTGTGTCAGTTGAGACCTAGTAATGTATGTGTTTTTCCTGCAAACTATGGAGCTGCCAGTGAAGTTCAGCACATGAGATCCATTTTAGAGCATCTGCTTTATGTATTAATTTTGCATGATAGATTCCTATGAAAGCAAACACTGTCTTTTCCTATATTTAAAAGATCATTTTGGAAAAAGCTATTTTTTTAGGAATGCTAGTGATTTAGAACACTAAATAACCACTTTATATCTTTCTTCAGGTATTTACCATTTGATATTTCAGAATTCTTTGTATTTCTTTAAAGGATTTTAAAAGTGTAAAAAAAGTTATATTTTAAAAAGTAAAGTTTTTTTATGAAAAAGAAAAGGAAAATGATAGGCCTGTAAAACTTCCTTAGCATTAAAAATTATTTTTACTTTAAAACTTTTAACAAATGATTAACAGGCTGATACTTATGCTGAAGCACACCCCAGGTGTTTAGGTTATGAGAGTAGCATTTTTAGTTACGCAAAGCACTCTTATAATGCTTTTACTGACACAATTCCTAACGATGGAGTATTGTCTTTGGGTCTCTTATCTTTTTTAGATACCTTTGTTTTAATGCATGCAGATCTCAAAAAGTTGTTTCGTTTCTCTTGAAAATACATTAGCAATAATTCTATCATTTTCCTTATGAGAAAGCTGATAGTTTTCCTAAAACACACTTTTACAGGTGTTTGCAGTGTACCTGTTTACAGGGGGCTGTTGAACAAACCTTAATTCACAGTGAACACTTCCTAAGCTTTATCATTTGACAGGTTTTAGAATCTCTATTATGAGGCCACACTGCAGGTCTTTGCACATCCCACGAGGGCCATCCATTTCTGCAGCTATCCAGATCCAAATTCTCCCTGCAAATCAAAGCCAAATCTAACTGTTTTAAAACTATTTTGGCATAATTTACTTACTATTGAGTTTATTTTGATTTTCTCTGTTTCAGCCACCCTTTTACTGCCGAGATGTTGCTGAAATGTATGATAATATTCTTCACAAGCCCCTACATTTGAGGCCAGGAGTGAGCCTCACAGCATGGTCCATTCTGGAAGAACTCTTAGAAAAAGACAGGCAAAATCGACTTGGTGCCAAAGAAGACTTTGTATGTAACATGTTTCCCAGTTCCAGTTTTATTTAAGCTTATTTAAAATTTGGAGACAAATCCTTATTGTTTAACATATTTATTAGAATGCATATAGCTGTTAATAGCACAATTGAAAAACACGTCACCAAAATTTTCACTAGTGTTCATATAAAACTGTGCAATGTTTAAAGCATTTTCAATTCCATTTTTTCACCTGATGTTCATAACTTGAACTTCTGCTCTTTAAAACCCACATCCAGTTTTCACATAAATATTTGATTTTCATTTGTAACAATTTCCTCTCCCTAAAACGTTGTATAGTATATAGTAACTACCTAAATTTTTATCATTTTAATCTTTATTGCTAAATAATAGAAGCATTTCTGTGAAGTTTTAATGCAAAGGCTAACCAACTAGCAAGGTTTTTCTTAGGGTTTCGGGTTATCTGAACTTGTATTTTCTTTGATAAGAATTTTTTAAATGCCTCTTGTCTGTCTGAAATACTGCCTTTTGCCTCAAACTAATATTAAATCATTGTTCTTACTTTTTTTGAGAATTTGGTGATATGTCCTTGAGATAATTATAGATTCTGATTTTTTTGTTTGTTTTAAAATAGGATAATTTGCTACTTCGTTACTAGTATTATTTTGCCACCATTTTCCTATTCCCCTCTCTCTTCAGTTAGGCAGGTAACTGCCACAGTTTCCTATTCAAGGTGCTAATGTTTCACACCTTCTTGTCCTGGGTTCTTTTATTGAATTTACTATCAGAAGTTGAATAAATCCATCTGTCATACTCTGGGTTCTGTACAGTGCTGAAGAAATCACCATCTGGGCATAGTGGAAGCACCAGGACTTTGTAGTCATGAATCTTTTTGTGTTTCTTCATTCAGCTCATTCCGCTACACTCTGTGTTAACTATTTCAAACCTCTCCAAACTTTTCAATTCCTTCAGGGTTTTGACTTTAACAATTTTAAAATAGAATTTAGTTAATACACTAGTGCTCAACTTTTTCTGTCATTAAGATTCATTAAATAAAAGGTGATGTTTACTATGCTATGCGAACTGCTTCTCCAGTTTTTACTAGTTAAAGATACATAAGGCCAGCCAGAACCTCTGATTAACTTGAAGAAAGTTGTATTAATTACTACATTAATACTGTTTTGATTCCAGGCAAACAACTTAGCGTTTTACTTTACATAACCTATCTATAGAAGAATGAATGCTGACTAGATCTGTAGGTCGTTGGTAGAGCACTGGCCATAGCATATGTAAGGCCCTGGGTTCAATCTTTATTTTTTATCAGTACATGTTTGCAATGCGTAATGATTACATTCTTCATGGGATGTTAATACATGTATATATTATAATCCTAATTATTTTTTCATTCCCTTCCTTCTCTTCCCCCCATCTCTTTGTCCCTTTTCCTTTTGCAGAGGATCTCCCTATATTCTATAATGTATCTTTTATTTTGTTGTTTATCTTTGGGGTTTCTCTTATAAGAGGCCATGTGATATTTAAGTTTGTAGTCTGACTTATTTCACTTATGGTTTCAAAATGCATCTCTTTTTCTATAAATGATTCAAGTTTATCCTTTGTAGTAGAGTAATTGTCTTTGGAAGGTTTGCACTGGATAGTTTTTAACCATTTGCCACATGAATGACATACTGTATGCCTAAAATTATTGAGAGGCATAATGGCAATGATTTGGCCTCATAAAATTCTTTAGTGAGTGTATGAGATAGTTTTCATCATTAATTTTTTTTTAATATTCTAGCTTGAAATTCAGAATCATCCTTTTTTTGAGTCACTCAGTTGGACTGACCTTGTACAAAAGAGGATTCCGCCACCCTTTAATCCTAATGTGGTAAGTATATATCGAAATCTTCCCAAAAATAGTGAGACAAAGAACTGTAGCTTATTATATTTTGGGAAATAAATCTCAAAATGTAACTGGAATGAAATCACATAGTTAGATAGTTGTGAAGTATGTCACTCAGGGTGATATATATACTTCAGGATGATATAATAACTTCAAGATGACTGATAAGGTTACAGATTAGGTTGATGAAAATATCTTCTAGCACAGTAATTGTGAAATGTTTCTTTGGAGCATGCATAAGAATGAAAGGAACTCAGTAAGTAAAGGTGCAGATTATCATTTTTATACATAAAAAAATCAATAAATGTTTTACATAACAAAATTTTTTCTAGATTAATATAAAACCGGATAAATATGTTTATGTTAGCTAGACTTTGTTTTTAAAAAAAACTCAGAATTACTGCTACTAAGATACTGATACTAAGTTTTTCTTTTTAGTCATCACGATGTGGAGATCACTTTAGAAACTAAATATCATTTACTCATGCTTTGTTAAAAGCTTCTGTGCATAGCTTATATCTGATATTAACAGGTGTGATGTTTTATACGTACAAACATAACAATATTTGTAAACTGACTTATTTTGTGTAGTCCAGAAAGTGTGTAGTTTCAGGAATGACTTACTCTATTTAGGGACAGTTTTATACCCATTTCTAGAATTTATACTGGCTGACTGTATAAGCTAATACAGATTGAAGGGAATTTGCATAAAACGATCAGATTTCAGAAAGTCTTGTATAATAGTTTTCCCATCACTTGGACAAAATACCTGACACCTGCAACTTAAAGGAGAAGTTTATGTTGGCTCACATTTCAGAGGATTTAGTCCACAGTTGGTTGGCCTCAAAGCAGAGACAGGATGGCCAAGGGGTATAGTAGAGGAGACCAAGAACAAAAAATACACCCTTTCAGCCATGACCCAGTGATCTACCTGCTGTCACATAACACATAAGACTTCTGGGAGGCATTATATAGATCTGAACCATAACACCATGCTTCTAGGATGATATTTAAAATTTTTGTGAGATGGAAATTTTATTTTTGGGGCAGTACTGAGGATTAAATCCAGGTCCATGTGTACATCAGGCAAGCATGCTACTACTACACCATCCATCTTGGATAACATTTTAATTAAATTTATAATGTCTAGAATTCTTTGTCCTCTGTAATGGCTTTTCTTGGGTGGAAAAGGCTAGCATTTTGGGTTCCCCTGTTCTCTGCTCAGTTTATAGTTGTACAAGGCTAATATCCTTGATTTATGATCTCTGCTGTGAGTCACTTTAGTAAGACTCATGACTTGGACATGTTAGGATTCCTTTCACTGTATGACAGAAATAACTTGAAAAGAAATAACTTGGAGACTCAAGGACAATCTTTACAAATGAATCACTTAAACTCATATCCCAATTTTATATGTAAATATATCCAAAGAGGAAAATCCATAAGCTTGCGTCAGTTTCATAAAGGAAGAACCTCTGCTCTGAGCCTAAGCATCCACCTTACTCCATTTCCTGTGTACCTTGGTCTTCCACAGTCACGGATGCTCTAAACGAGTGTTTCACAACCTTCCCTATAGCCCAGAAAGAGTTATCTTCACAGTTTTATTTATAAGCCCTTCCTTCCTCCATCAGAAGGCTTCACCCATCCAGAATTGAGACTGGATAGGCAGGCATTTGTAGAACTTAGATGCAAAATGCTATCCTGGAAACCTGTTTCCAAACATAGGCTTGGTGTTGGATAGAGAAAAAAGGGATTATTGTATAATCTCAGATTCAAATTAGCATAGGTCAGGCTATTATGATGTTAGCTAGCCTTTCTCATCATTTGTCTCTCCACCACAACCAACAGTAAGATCTTTAATTATTAGAACAGATAACTTCACCTAAATAATAAAAATTAGGAAAGGAAAAGCAGAAAAATAAATAGGAAAACATCTATACTTGCTACGAAAAAAGTGTACAGTCACAAAGACATTTTGATGAAGGCCTAAGTTAATGATAGAAAAGCTAAAATGAATAATAATATGCCTTTGATGTTTTAGGCTGGACCAGATGATATCAGGAACTTTGACACAGTATTTACAGAGGAAACGGTTCCGTATTCTGTGTGTGTGTCTTCTGACTACTCTATCGTGAATGCTAGTGTACTGGAGGCAGATGATGCATTCGTTGGTTTCTCTTATGCACCTCCTTCAGAAGACTTATTTTTATGAGCAGTTTGCAATTCAGAAACCATCAAGCAAATACAAGCCTGCAGATGTGACTAAAACTCCTGTTTGTGTGAATATATTCAAATATGTATAACAGTGCCTCATTTTTATATGTAATGTAAAAAACTATGAAAAGTGTATTTTCTGCTGTATGCAGGGAAATAGGGCATTTCAAAGAGCTATGTTTTGAATTAAAATTTGTATTCTTGTTTACTCAGCTTATTTTTAACAAAATTTGAAAGCTGTTATTCTTAGCATTAACCTATTTTTAAAGAAAACTTTTCTGCTATTGACTGTTTCTCTCTTAAGTTTACACTGACATGTTCAAGATAGACTGTTTTTTGTCTGTTTCAGTTCATTTAACATGTATTAATACCTTTGTAACTATACTATGACTTTTGTTATTGTATCAGAACTATGCAATTGGTACATAATTGTTTAAGAAGAAACCATATCTTTCCCTGATAAATCACTGTTGGAAATAAATGGCATTGGGCCAGGGATTTAGCTCAGCAGCACAAGCACCTGCCTGGCAGGTGTGAGGTCATGAGTTCCTCTGGGTGACCCATCCCCCCCAAAAAAAGATGTTAGTGTAGGATTAAAATGTAAGAAAAGTGTGTTAACATATCTGCTGCTATTTAATACTGAGTATAATAATTCATTTTGCAGATAAGTAACAAAAGGAAATCATTTGCTTTTGAAATACTAGTTCAAATTTATGGTTTCTAGCCAAGTGTGGTGACATTTCCAGCACTCAGGAGGCTGAGGCAGGAAGATCATCACCATAAATTCAAGGCTACTATAGGTCACATTGTGAATCCAAGACCAGCGTAAAGTACATAGCAAGACTCATCTTTTAAAAAAAGTTGTGATTTCTTTTTCACTCTGGAGGGAAAGAAAAAAGTTAATGGTTAGAAAGTTAAGACTTCTCAAAGAGCTGGAGGGTAATAAAGTACTGCCAACTTTTTTTTTTTTAAGGTGAGGCCAAAAATCAGTGTCTCCATGTTATAATTTATATTACAAATGCATTCTATTTATTTTCCCTTTGGTGTTTTGAGTGTTTAATATACTTTTAAGTCCAAATCTTGATACTTGTTTATGCAAATAGTTGTTTGAAAACTATCTTTATAATTGGAAAAAAGTAGGTTTCTCTAGAATATTTATCTAATCGAGAATTCAAAGTAAAATAGTAAATCTTTGTCAGCATAAAACATGTCACTATAGCAAAAGTTAAAAACAATTTATGCAGTTTCATATTCTGTTTTTGCAGGGGAGAGGCTGGGAATCAAACCCAGGGCCTTGCATATGTGAAGTGTGCATGTACTCTACCACAAAATTATAACCCCAGTCCCTCAGTATTTTTGTGTGTCTCAGAAGTACAAGAAACTGATCTTAGAAATTGTAACATACCAGTTAACTTGCATCTTTTCAAATCATGTAGGAAACAGAAGTATAAAGGTTCAGTGAGCCAGTTGAGATGCTCTAAGAAGAAACTTTCCTTCCATGTATGTGCTTGGAAAAAATCACAAAAGCATTTCTCATCTTCTCATCAAAACCCGTTGACTTAAAAATACTCCTTAGAATTGGGAAGGGAGGGGGTACTTTTGTTCAATTAATATTTACATCTGATACACTGAATCTTCCTTTAGAGGTAAGACTTTAGTATCTACACTGTAAATATTTGGTTTATTTGGTAATACTGTAAGTTCTTTTAAGCTCTTTTTTCATTATAAACCAAGATAAAACTATAGTGTCTTGTATGATTTTTTTTAACTCAGATACTCCTTAGACTACCAAAAATTTAAGTGCAATATTGTATATTTTTAAGAAAAATTTAAATTAGAATTTTGATGTTTCTTGAATCATAAGAAATACAGATCTATATAATATAATAAAATTAGCAAAAAAGATTAATGATCATCAAATTGCCTGTCATTATTTGAAATTAAAATTGGTAATAGTTACAGTAGTCATTACAAAATGAATTAAATGTTTTAGGGGAAAAGGTATAAAATTTTATCAGTATTTGGACAAATTAGATTATCATAGGCTAGTATGTATTGTTTTGGGACAAAATTTCTTCTAAATTTCAAATCTATCTTTTGACTCTTTGCATGTGTCTTTCAGTAAAGTATATGCCCATGAATAGTTGAACTAATTCATGGGGTTTACCAAAATAAAGGTCTAAATGAAGACTTTACTCATACATGTAAGTTCGAAGTTCTGTTTTTCAATTGGGTTTTCTTGCCATTTCAAAGGAAGTTTTTACTTACACCAGTTTGTACATGTTATTCCGTTCCCAGCGTGATTAAGAGTCTGGGGGGGGGAGCCCTTTTTTAATAGATGGAGCCTTCACATTGTGTCCTTATGGGATGAAAGAGGCTAATTCTCTGGGTTCTCTTAAGGGCATTAATGTATTCACCTCCCCCACTCTACAATGCTAGTGAGGATTAGATTGCAGCATGAATAGTGTGAAGACACAAACATTCAGAGCATAGGAGTATGAAAACCTTAAGTGCACATTGAGTTTCAAGTGGCTTGAGTATCTTGAAATGATACGCCAATTGGTGTGTGTAAATGAGATTAACAGGGACAAGGTAAAGAGTATTACATAGCTTTATCAAATGTAAAAAGATTCTTTTATATGAAAATATTGGAATTCTTTGCCACTTTACTAAAATATTAAGAGAAATTTCTTGTAATTTCCCTGATAGCATTTCAATTGGAGACCTAGGTAGCATTTTTAGTGTCTTATGAATACTATGTAATTATCCATTTGTAATCCTTTAAACATATTCCTCACTGGCTAAAAAGACTGGCACAAAAATATTTCTCAATTCATTACTTGTATTCCCATTTGTATAAAAGTATGAAATCAAAGAAAAATTATGGAACTTAAAGTATGTTTCTTAATAATTTTACTCTGACACAATTTAAAACAGTCGTACACAAAGGATAAAGCCAATAGAGATTTATAGACTGAGAACGGTTTATAGCAATGAATTAGCAAAAGAATGAGTAGTTTGTATATGTTGGACAGAAAATGATGGGTCACCATTGTCGAATATTAAGATCATTGATATATAAGTATTAAGGAATAATAGAAGCATAACACTCCAAGCTGTTACTAGAAAAACAAGTCACAAAACTGCGCTCAAATGCAATTTGTACATGTTTACTGTAAATTCCCTTTTTGTAGGAATGTATTTCAGGTTCATCTCTGTTGGATTACTTTTTTTTTTCCAGTTTCTCTATAGTCGTTAATGTAGATTACTTGTGCTGAATTTTTTTGTAATGACTCAGTGGTAGTAAATGGCTGGGAACGTTCAGTGCTAGAGCCCTTGCCTAGCCTAGGTGAGGCCTTGGAGTCATTCACTGCAAGTCGGTGATACATTGAACACTAGCAACAGCGGTTCCCCCTAGTACTGGTGACTGATCCTAAGGCCTTGCTAAGTTCACTAAAGCGCCTGCGCGCCAGCGGTCAGAGTGTGCGCATGCGCACGGGTGAAGGCCTGTTCAGCCCCCACCCTCTGCCGCGGGTGTTTGAGGCGACGCGAGCCCGGCCTGGTAAGTGCCTACGCAGTAGGGGGGTTGCCTGTGGTTTTGGGAGCGCCCCGGTCCCCGCGTGTGGCGCTGCCTTTGCTGTCACCCGCTTAGGTGGTGAGCTGTTTGCCAGCCACGGTCTCCTCAGCAGTTGATTCCCGGCGCTGACCAACAAGTCTAGACGCGGTCCACACATTTTAGACTCTGGGAGGACTTCGAAGAATTACTGTAGAATTTTATCCCTGTTCGCTTGTTTAGTACTTTTCCATAGGCTTCAGTGTCTTTCTTGTAAATGCATTCATTCACTCCCCGGGACTTGCCTTTGCGTGGGGACACGGGGACTTGAGCTCCGACTGTTCGCCAGTGGGTGGTTTTTAGTCAGGGTGTCCAGAAGGAACATGACCATGTCCTTTCCAGCACTTCCTGGATTCATGTTTCCACTAGGCATCAGCATCTGCTCACTTTAAAACCCCCCGGCCATCCGGACATGGTGGCACATGCCTGTAGTCCCAGCATTTTGGGAGACTGAGGCAGGATCCTAAACTCAAGCCCACTCCCCCTGGCAATTTAGTCTCAGCAAAATCCTCAAAATTTAAAAAGAGATGTAGCGCAATGTGAAGATTCAGTCACCAATTTAAACACACACACACGCACACAAAACTTAGCCTTTCATACTTCCTTGCCTATGTTGTACAAATTAATCAAGTGCAACGTGAAATCTTTTAAAATATTAGAATTTATCTCTAGTCCCGTTTTTCCCTAATGCTCTAGATTGCACCATCCATCTTTTAGGAATGTTACAATATATTCAACCCATATTCCACATTGGCTGCAGGTGATGATTTACAAACTTAAAAACCTGATCATAATAAACCTCTGTTTAAAACAGACAAAACAAAATGCCGACCAAGTTTTTAGGCTTCTTTTCACCTGTGTAGTCCTGATAGATTTCAAAAACTTTCATAACTGGGGCTGGGGATTTAGCTCAGCGGCATAAGCGCCTGCCTTGCAAGCAGTCGTGAGTTCGATCCCCGGTACCGATTAAAAAAAAAATGAAAACCTTTCATAACTGGCCTCTCCCTTTATTAATAGCTTCTATTCGACTTCGGAAACCTGTTTTGGTGAAGTGACGATGTAATGCTCTGAACACCACACATATTTAAGCAGTCATTAGAGATCTAGATGCGGTAGTGGAAGACTCACAGTGGGTGTTACTGGTATTTACCCTTTTCTCTGAAAAACTTTTCTTCTTTAGAGAGATACTCATCTACCAAATATCACCTTTTAAATAGAATTCATAGCTTGTCTATGATCCCAGTATCTTCAATGAAAATATGCTAAAATAATGGGACATATGGTTCATACACAAAGATGGCCCCAAATTTTATGGGAAATTTTACATACAGGGTTCCTTCCATGCTCCCTAGAATATTCCAGTTTTTGTTGACGTACTTCAATCATCAGATAACTGTTTCCATGTCATATCTTCCCTCACTGTACTCCATCTGAAAGATAAGAACAACATTTTACTCACCTCTGTATCCCTAGTGCCTAGGATACTTCGGTTATTCAGCAAATAGTAGGTGCCAAATAAATAATTGCCAAATGTATTAGTCATTTCCAACTTCTGTAAATTGGCAACTTGAGATCCAATCTTGAATCATCATTTTCCTAATACATATTATAATTACTATATAGCATACACTGTTTTCAATTGGTGTTTTGTTGTCATTTTCCACTCTGCTTGTAACTATGGCTCAATGTTGGTCACTGATGCAAGATATAAAACTGAAAGAGGCCTTAACATGTACTACGACTCCTTCACTTCTTAAGTACTGTGACTTCTTCATCTTTTAAATATTGAGCCAAGGGAGATCCAGTGGTACTCTCATAATGATCAATATTGGGTGGAATACCTATTTCTCAGATTTCCCAAGTTAGTACTCATTCTCCAACATTTTGTTATTTGAATTGAATTTATGAAGCAACTTTTACCACTTTCATTTTTTAATACTGCCTACAAGGGAACCTCATCATCCAATATATTTCAATAAACATTCTTTGGAGTAAAGTACTTCCTTTGTAAAAACATTTGAGGTTCCTGTGTTTGTTGTTTTTGCTGTCTTGAACCTGGGGGGTTCTGCATGCTAGACAAGCAATGTAGCATTGAGCTACATCTCCATTCCCTTTTATTTTTTTTTAAAGAGACCATCTCACTGTCCAGATTAGCCTGGAACTTGGAATCCTCCTGCCTCTGCTCTCTGGGTAGATAGAATTGTAACTACATTTATACAACCACTGCCCAGCTGAGGCTCCTATTCTTAAGTTTATGATCTTGTAGAATATTTGTTAAATGTTGAAAATGTTATTTAGGGGCTGGTAATGTGTAGCTCAATGGTAGACCACATGCCTAGCATGTGTGAGGCCCTGGTTTCAATTCCCTGCAAACTCCCCAAAATATTATTTGGCTAAAGAACACAACTGTCAATTTTAAGTTTACCAGTTTGGAAAGTTTTATTAGAGTTCTTCAACAGTAAATTTTAAAAAAATAAATTTTATTTTATTTTTAGGGTTTCTCATCCTTTCTGTGAGTCAATACTTGTAATCATCAGGAACTGCAGTATAATCAGTTATTAATAAAGAAGAACTGTTAACTAAGAAAAATGTCAAATTTAAAAATGAAAGAGGCAGCTCTTGTTTATCTTGACAGAAGTAGAGGTCTCCAGAAGTTTATAGATGATTGTAAATTCTACAATGGTATGTTCAGCAAAGATGATTTTAGAAACTTTCAAAAATATTTCTACACACGATTATCCTGACTTCTACATTTGTGTATTTTCACAGATTCAAAGCAAAGTTATGCTGTATATCGATTCAATATTTTAATAAATCCCTCTGATGTTCTTGAATTAGATGCTGAACTTGGAAATCATGTTTTACATCATCCTTTAAAAGCTGCTCAAGTTTTTCAATCAGTAAGTTAAGGAAAGAAGTAATTTTATACCACATAGAATAAATTCTTAATAACTCTTGTTTGTTTGAAATCACAGGTCTGTTTTATTGCTGTTAAAACTCTCTCACTAATTGGACAATTACAAACTGAAACTCAAGTAAGTTTTAATTAACTTTAATAAAAACTCAATTACAAACTTTCAACTCATAAATTAATACTTTCAATTTGTAAATTAATTTTTCATATTCATAGATGTTTTGTTTTAAAAAACGACTTTTCAAAGTTTAATGGAATGCTCATATTTATTTTCTGTGTTATCACTTACAAGATTAAACTTTTTTTAGCCAAGAGTGGTGGTGCACACTAGTAATCCCAGCACTGCAGGCTGACACAGGAAAATTATTTAGTTGGAAGCCAACCTGGGCTACATGGCAAACTCAAGGAGAGCCTGGGATACATAGCAAAATCTTATCTCAAAAAAATAAAAGAAAGAAAAAAGTTTTATAATCAGAGATTTCAAATATAGCCAAAAGAGTAATATAGTGCTGTATGTGTCACTCAGGACTCTGGTTTACAATATTTTTCTGTATCTTCCTAATCTATTTTTATCTGAACTATTTTAAAGCAAATCCTAGATGCTCTATTGTTTTAACCCCTGTCTATATTTGAATGTCTGCTTCTAAAAATTATGGACTTTTTTTATATAACCACAATTATATCATCACAAAACCAACACTAATTTATTGATATCTTTTAACATCTAATCCATAATTATTATTTGCTTGTCTTGAGAATCTTTCAACTGGCCTGTTTAAGTCAGTATCAAAACAAGGTCCACACATTATAATTGTATAATTGGTTCTTATATCTAGGTAGGTGTCTTTCAAACTAGAGCCATTCCCTTTCCCTCTCTTTTAAAGATTGACTGAAGAAACTAATTAATTGTCCTATAAAATTTTATATAATCTGAATTTATCTGATTGCTTCTTTACTTTATTCCTTTATATGCCTTGTATCTAAATAAAAGTTGCCCCTAAAGTCTTAGATTCAGATTAATCCATTGTAAAAAGAACACATCCTGTTTAGTGTCATGTATTCCATTATTGCACTATTTCAGGATTCCCACTTTTAGCACTTTCACAATTGATCAATGGGTTCAGAGTCATTCTGGTCCCTGCATTATGCAGCATCCTGACAACTTCCACCCAATTGTTTTAGAATGCCTTGAATCCATCATTTTATTAGGAGTTGCAAAATCACAATTTTCCTAATTTTAGTATTTTTTCTGAATTTGTTAGCTAAAGTGATTCTATAAAAGAAATTTTCTCTATCAATCTTTTGATTACTCTGAAATATAATTTGCACAGGAACAGCAGGATAAATGATTATTTCCCAGTATAGTTTCAGAGAATAATGAATTGAAATCTAACAACTTATCTAACAATGATGATTTTTTTGTTTTTCCTTTTTTTTAAATGCAAAGAGCTCATAAGCTTTTCAATACAACTGAGAGTTGTAATAATTTATCATTCATTTTTGATGTTTTGGGAGTCTCTTCTAGTTCCTTTTGACACATGCCATTACTCCTACATCCTTTTGATACATGCCATTAGATTTTTGGTTAGTTTGTTTTTGCAGTATGTAGAATTGAACCCAGAACTTTCACAATGAACTACATCCCCAGCACACTGCACCCTGCTTTTTATTTTCAATTTTGAGACAAGGTCTTTGCAAGTCACTAAATTAGCCCAGAGTGGAATTGAACTTGTCTTGGCCTCCTAGAATCCTTCTGCCTTGGCCTCCTAGAATCCTGGAATTAAGCCAGCTAATTTCTAGCACAAGATGCACCGAGTCTATATAGTATATTTTCTCTTCTAGATCTGGAATAAGCCATTTCCTTAAAAGAGTGCTGGTAATTTTTGGGAAAAAATGACATTTAAAGATCATGATTTGGACACTAAAAGTATGCTTTGCTATTGGGTCAAAATTGTTTTAAACTTATTTTTAGTGGTTATAGCCAGGAAGCATATATTTTTAAGGAAAAATAATGAGCTCTCATGATATTTCCAATTAAAATGTTAGTTTATAAGACTTTAAATCCCTTTTCTCTCATATTTAAAACTTGGTTTCTAACACTAACAGTTGAATTACTTACCTGAATTATTCTGCAGTGCATGTCAAATCCAATTGGACTTACAGTTTTCACTAATACTATTTTATGCTCTTATCAGATTAATATAGTGCTGAAATTAACACATTTACCTCCTCTGCCAAGTTATGCTCTTGATCTCTGTGAGTTTCCACTTGATTATACATCTCAGAGATTTTATATGATGCAAGGAATTGTGATTGCAATGACAACTGTAACCAAGTATACACAAGGTGCAAGATTTCTTTGTTCAGATGAAGCATGCCCCTGTTCAAAAGGTAAATATTAAGGTATAAAATCAAAAGACCAAGCAATTTATCTAATTCCAAATGACATTTGCAGTTTAGTTATTAATCACAATGTTGTGAAAGAATTAATTTCATGTCTTCTAGTGTTTGTAAGTTTACTTTGTATAGTCTTGGAAAATTTTTTCTCCCCTTTGTACCCTCTAGCAATTTACTAATTGCTCTTATATTTCAGAAGTTCCAGTTCTTTTTTTGTTTGTTTATTTTATAAATTGTATTTAAAAGGAAAAAGGGAAAAACACAAAACAAAACAAAGCAGTGTAAGGGTACAAGTAATACAGAACTACAAAAGAAAAAAAAAACAGTAAGAAATCACCAGTTAATAGATTACATATTATCATCTTAGAAATAGTTGCTCAAATAAGAAGTTCCAGTTCTTTTGATACACGGTTTAATGACAGTTTGCTCATGCTGTTTCTTCTCCATTTAATGTGCTCTACTTATACTTTGGCTTAACCAGTTCTGTCTTTCTTCAGGACATCTTTTCTATTTATCACCCTCTTATGACTTTTGTCTAGATGTCCCCCAAAGCCTCGTGCGATTGGTCATAAGAGGGGCTTTCCAGAGGTGACTGGATCTAGAGTGTATGACACTGAAATTGATTTATGCTGTAATGCGAGGATCAAAGGTGCTAAGATTAAGGGTGTGAGTCTTACCAACCTAAGGTCTGAGTAAGCTGAAGAAAATGTAAGGCACTTAAAGAGCTCTGGTTTTGCCTCTTATTGATTATTGCTTTTTGTGTATTGCTTTGCTTCTGCCTGCCTGAACTGCTTCACTACAGTGCACCTTTGCCATGCCACCCTGCCTTGGAGCCAGGTTACTATGGACTGAAACCTCTTCAGACTGCAAACCAAATAAACTTTCCTCTTTTAACTTTGGGCATCGGGTATTTTGTCTCAGCAACAAGAAAAGTAACTAAGACACATTCCGTCTCTTTGAGTTAGAATGCACCTCTTCTTTCTGTATACTCTACAAATGAACTCCACATATGAAGAGTACATTTCTCATTTACACACATAGAAACTGTTTAAGCAACCAGTGTTTAATATACGGTGCCTTAATACAGTGCCTGACAAAAAGCAGCACACAGTAAATGTTAATCTATTCTGAACCCAAGTGTAAAACTGAGTTAATCATACATTGAATTAGACTAATATTAATTGATTGAAAATAGGTAAAATCTGAAAGCAAATTTAGCTTACCACTGCTTTCTTTCAGGATTTCAGTATATAAGGGTGCACGTTCCTGGTGCTACAGAATCTGCAACAGTAAGAAATGACTTTTTGTGTAATCTATGTTCATCTTCACTTCAAGAAGACAGAAAATTTAGAGTACTTGGTGGTAAAAATACATTTATGGCTTCTTGTAATTATGATTTTCAAAACAATATCCAATATTTTAATGTGAAAATTGAATATATTGTAATAACAAAATGTTTCATTCTTTGCCTGAAGATAAACAGATAATTGAAATAATTACCACAAAAGCACTTCATGCTTTTCAAGGATATTCTAAAAACCTGCCTTTTAGGTTTCAATCTTTTACAATCTTCCTAAGAGGTATGTAAATTCCATTTAAACTCAAAATTTCTAAAAGTACAGAATTGAATTATTCATGCATATGTATTAATAATGTGCCTCTATACCTTAAAATGACAAGTCACTTTATTCTTGAGTTTTTTAAAAGTCATATTTAACTAATATATCAGTTATTCATCCAGGCATATAATATTCATTTTTAAAAAGAATTAGCACTCACCTGCTTTATCCCAATCATTATGCTAAGCCTCAGGTTCAGTCATTTTAAGGCAACAGTCCCTCATTTTTCAATATGTGTTTGTGGTTGTTAATATTGGAGTTACTATTTTTAGTATACAAACTTAACAAAAGTAGAAACTTTGGTATTTTACTTCATGTAAAAGTTTGAGTATTTTTAAAATGAATGATATTTACATTTGATTATCTATTGAGAACCACATGGCTAAGTACCTGTGACTAGATAGTATGCCATGAAGGAGAAAATCACAGTATCAGTTGCTCAGGAAAAATGTAAATCTTCTTATTTGAAAATGAGGATGGGGTTGAAACTTTTTTTTTGACTGAAATTGAAGAAATTAAAACCATTCAGAAAGAAAGCTCTTGAATGTAAACCAAGTAGAGGAAACATAGGAGTTAGGAAAGTTCACATTCAAACAGGAAATTTTTTCCCCATGATGTAACAAGAATGAGGCAGGCATATAAACCCACATAGTTGGAAGTAATTTTTATATCACAATTATTTTTATTGCATTTATTAGTATAATATAGATGTACATGTTGATCACTGTCATCATAGGGAACCCACACATGATATAGCTTAGTGTCTATTTTTCCCATCCCCCTTCCCTCCCTTCGACCCCTCTTCCCCTCTTTATTTTCAAAGCTTTGTTTCTGTTTTATCCTTCTGTTGTAGTAAAAGGTTGTGAGAACAATTAGAATCGGGACACAGAATTTAAAATATTATTTTATGATGGTCACACAGAGTTAAACACAAGAAAGTGCAGGAAATCTGTCCATAACACTAAAGACTCAGACTATTCAGCCAAGTGCCTGAATCCCACAGCAGTATCCTGCATGAATCTAGATGAAGACCTAGATCCCATGACAATGCCTCCCACAAGTTCAGCTGAAGGTGTAGAGCCCACGAGAAAGACTCACACCAGTCTGATTTACAGATCTGTGCTGGGAAGGCCCAAAGGTCAGTGATGGAAGCTAAAAAGTCTATGACAGAGTGGTGAAGGAGCTGTGCTGGTGGGTTGAGAGTTCTACACTGGAGCTAAGATGTCATGCTCAAAAAAAGGACGAAGGCTGCCCTGAAAAGTACCACAGCCATCCTCAGCAACACGGAGGTCCCGAGCTCCTCTGGCGATAAGAACATTTGAGTACATGCCAGGAAGCCAGCATGGCAGGTTTCTCCTGGAGATTAAACAGCACACATCTTCCCCACTCAGAGCTAGGAAGTGATGCTTGATGTAAGAACCAGAGCTCCCCCAGAGTGAACCACAGCCACTCTCAGCAACAAGGTCCTGAGCTCCTCTGATAATAATGGTTGACCTCATACTGGGAAGCTAGTCATGATGAGTTCCTCCAGGAGAACCAACAGCTCAAAACAGCAGCACTTAGAGAAACCTGCAATGCCTCACTCGTCTTCTCATGTCTCTATTTATGCTGGCAACTTTCCTCTGGTGGAATATCAACACTCAGTACCATGCTAATTTAATTCAGCTCATGTTAAGTTGACCACCAGTTTTTAATCTATGACACCTTCTACTCTCACTTTTTCTATTCTCTTCCTTCTTCCATGTTCTCCTTTCCTTTTGAACAGTTTCTTATTTTGCAATATCTATTATACTTTTTGATTCTTATTTACACTTTCTCACACCAGTGAAAAAATGCAATATTTATCCATATGTGTCCAATTTATTTCACTTATGAGTATGGTCTCAAAGTCTATCCATTTGCTAGAAATCTCTCAAGTTTTTCCTTCTTTATGGCTGAGTAGTACTACACTGTATAAAAAAAACCACATCGTTTTTATCCATTGGTTAGCTGATGGGCATTTGGATTGTTTCCAAAATTTAGCTATTTAAACTATGCTACTATAAACATGGATGCACATATATCAATGTGGTATAATGATTTTAATTCCTTTGGGAAACCACCAAGAAGTAGAATAGCTGGGTCAGATGGGACCTTTAGAATCCCTTTAAAAGAATGAGGAATCTTCATACTGATGTCCACAGTAGTTGCACCAGTCTGTACTCTCACAAACGGTGGAAAAGTGTTCATTTTTCTCCACAGCCCCACCAGCATTCGTTATTGGTTGACTGGAGTGACATGGAATCTCAGTGTTGTTTTAATTTGCATCTATTCATTTCTGATGCCAATTTTTGATTGGGTCTTTAAATTGGGGTGGTTTGATTTTTTTCAATTCTTTATAATGTTCTAAATACTAGCCCTTTGAAGAACTCAGATTCTAGCTAAGATTTTTCCCACTCTGTGAGTTGTCTTTTCATTAGATTGATGATTTCTTTTGCTGTGCAAAACTTTTTAGTAGGATGAGATCCCAGTTGTTGATTCTTTGTAGTATTTCCTGTGCCATTGGAGTTCTGTTCATGAATCAACATAGTAAAAGTAGCCAGACTCCCAAAATGGTTGTACAGATTTAATGCAATCCTAATCAAAATATCATTAGCATACCTCATAGAACTAGAGAAAACATTCCTAAAATTAGTTTGGAACCAGAAGAGACCTAGAATAGCAAAAGTAATTCTGGCAACACAGGCAAGGCAGGGAACATCATAATCCCTGACTTCGAAGCTATGCTACAGAGCTACTGTGATTTAAAAAGCATTGTATTGTCAAAGAAACAGACCTAAGGATCACTGGAGCAGATTAGACAACAACTTCAAACACACTTAGCCACCTTATCCTTCACAAAGGGGCCAAACGCCTTCACTGAAAGAAAATCTGTTTAATAAATGTTATGGAAAAACTGGCTTTACCCATGCCAAAGACTAAAACTAGACCTATGTTCATCACCATGTACTACATTAAAATAAAAATGGGTCAAATATTTAACTATTAAAACAAAAACACTAAACCTGCTGGAGGAGAGAATAGGTACAACCCTTGAAGATATAGGTGTGTTCCAAAATTGTGTACCAAACATTATTACATTACTATGTCCATTTTATGATGTGGCAACTGAACAGATAGGTTAACAATTTGCCCAAAGTCACATAGGTAGTAGGTTATATAGCCAAGATTCACACTGAGGCAATTAGCCTTAAAGTCTGTGGTTTTGACTACATCATTATATACCATATGTAATTACATACATGCAATATAAAAATGTGACTATCTGATTTGCATTTTTGGCGAAAACATTTTCTCTAAAGAAACTTCAAAATAACTTTTTAAATTAAATGAGGAAAATAAGGCCTTTTTGAGTTGACATTAGAAAAGAGACACAGACTTCCCTCTTGCTCTTTTTGTGATCTCAGGACACATCCACCAAACTCTTAAGAAACTTCACTAGTTGGGCATAGTGGTGTATGTTTATAATCCCAGCACTTGGGAGGCTGAGGTAGGAGAACTGCCACAAGTTCAAGGCCAGCATGGACTGCCTAGTTTGTTTAAGGACAGCATTGAATTGAATAAGAGACCTTGTATCAATACCATGCCTACACCTTATACTCTGAATACTACAAAGACAATAATATACAATATATTAATAATTGTAACTCCTACTAACCTTTTTAAAAGTTGTTTTGTTACTTTTTCTCTTTAAATAAAAAAGGCAGCACAAAAAATAAAACAAAGCCCCCCCAAAATGATTTACTTATAGAAATAATAATCTTTGCTTTTATTTTCATCTTGTAATTGATTCTGCATTCTTTATTTTTAGGTTTTTGGTTTGGTTGGTTGTTTTGGGGGTTTTAACATTTATGGTTTTTGTTACTGTTTTTTTGTGGATAGTAGTATTGAAAATTGATCCCAAGGAGCACTGATCTACACTCAGCCCTCTTTATTGTTTAATTTTGAGACACGGTCTCACTGAGTTGCCCAGATTATCCTTGAGTTTATGATCCTCCTGCTTTAGTCTGCCAGGTCGCTGGCCTTAGAGAATTTCCAGTTTGTGTTTGTTTTTACTTTCTCAACTTGTTGAGCTTGATTCTTCCCTTTCAGTTCTACAGGTATACCAGTATGCTCTCTGCTATAAAGAGGGTATAGAGGGAAAGATCACTCATCTTTTGCAGAGAGAATATCACATTTGCAAACCTCTTGTAAACCTTTCTTTCATGAGTTTGCAACTAAACAACTTCTAACCGTGGAACAGAGGATCAAAATTTTTAATGTGTTTTTCAAATGGAACTTACATGAACGCTTTATCCACTCTATATGTGTAACTAATGAATTTAACCCTGTGGAGGATAGACTTTAAAAGCAATCAAATATAATGAGTTTCAATTCTGCCATTAACTAGATATTTAGCCTTCCATAATTCACTTATTCTTTGTTTCTTCATATATAAGGTGGAAAAATATCTACCTTAAAATTTACAGTTAAATACATATGTATCTTACAAATATTATAGGCAATGAATGGTATCTTTTAAAATTATTTTCTTTCCAAATAATATTGCATATAAGGTCATTTTATTAACATTCCTTCCCATTTAATAGAAAGGTGTTTCATTTATATAGAATAATTTTTCCTCTTGACTATATTATAGAAGAGTACTATTACATACTTCTTGAAAGTAATTTCTGTTACACACAAGTATAAAACGTACCAGGAAACTGCCTCAATTCATATTGTTGGTGGGATGCATATTATAATAACAAAAACTAAGTATTATTTACCCAACCACTATACTTTACTGGTTCTGGATGCTTGAAAGATAATCACATACTATTTTTTCTGTGTTTAATAATTTTAGATGAATTAGTAAATAAAATGAATATAGGAAATGAATATAAAATTATTGGAATTCCAACCTGTGTCAAAAGCTCACAAACTGCTGTCTGTATAGAAGCAAACAGCATCATTATTTGCAATCCAAAAGGTGAGGAAAATCATGTATTAACAACCATTTAAATTTCAGTCAATTCATTCAGCAGTGCTGGACACTCTTCTGAGTACTAGGGATTCAGAAGAGTGCTAGACACTCTTCTGAGTACTAGGGATATAGGACAGCCAACTTCCTATTCTTAAATCATGTAGGAGATGATCGATAAAAATATAAATAGCCAAACTATCATTTCTGACAATAAAAGTCATGGAGAAAATAAAACATAGATAATGTACAACTCTGATGCCTGACAGGAAGATTTTCTTAGGTATATGTCTAGCTCAGCAGGACTCCTGTCCAAGGTGGCTGAGCACTGGACCAAGGACAGGCTCCAGTGTTTTACATTTGGTCAAGGAGGTTGGTCTTCAACACAGAACTTGTGGATAGGCAGAAGGAAAACAAAGACAGTTAAGCTGTGGCAGTTTAGTATCTTGGTGGTCCTAACAGAATGTTATAAGAACAGGAACTTATAAAATTTTACTTACAGGGACAAAAGTTACTGCTTTTAGTTGTATTAGATCAAAGAGCAGCAGCTATAGGGAGGGGGAAGTTTGGAAAACTTTTCCTTTTTAAGTCCTGCTTTACACGCCTTTGAGCCTGGTTCCTGTTTTGTTTTGTATTGTTGTAAGTGAACAAAAATTTTTAACAAAGCAAGCACTGATGGATCACAGATAACTTAGTGATCTTTTTATATATTCCAGTGTTAAGTGTTTCAAGATTTATTGATCTGATAGCAGAACACAACTTAGATGTGAGGTTTATTTCTTACAGGTTTTGGAGGTTTCAGTCCATACTCAGTTGGCTCCAATGCAGGCTGGCATGGCGGGGCCGCAGTTCATGGTGGCTTCAAACAGCAAGGCAGAAACCAGCAAGCTTTCTTATATTGACCTCCAGATTAAAGAAGATTTAACCATTAAATGTGGCGAGAATTAGATTAAGGCAGTCCTCTCTTGGTCCGTGAGCACGAGCGACTAAGTGGAAGGAGGAAAGAACTTAGTTTTTCATGCACAGCTATTCCCCCCCACCTGACTTGATAAACTGGATAAATCACTTATGGCATTAGCTTTTCATCTCTGAGACCAAATACTTATGAAAAACACTTGTAAGAAGAAAGAGTCACAGTTTCAGAGGCTTCAGTTCATGGTTGACCTGTTGCATTGCATTTAAGTGTGTAATAACAGAAGTACCACACAAAAGCATGTCTCAAAAGAAAGCTGCTCACCTGATGGCAGCCAGGAAGCAGAGAGAAAGAGGGGGGAAAAAACAGCAGAAGCGTCCCCAGACAAGATATGCCTGTCATAATCATTCTCCTGGTGGTCTACTAACTCCATCTGGGCCCTCCCTGCTAATAGCCCATTTAGCTGACACCCTCGTGATCCAGTCACCTCTGTAGGCCCCACCTGAGAGTGTTACTCCCCTGGGGATACAAGAGATTTGGGGGAACACTTCATATTTAAACCAGAACACTTACACTTTTCAGGAACTGGAGAAAATGAGGGAATAGAGAAGAATTAGAATGCTACCGTGTAGTATAGTACAGTGATTTCAGAATAGAATACAAATGATTCCTTTAGACTTCAACATCCCAGTACTTCCCATTCTTCTCATTAGTTCCTACTTAAGGTAATATTATTTCAAACATATAAATACAGAAGCAAATACAGTAAACAGTCCAGTAGCACCACAATCTCCCTTGCCTATATGGGTCTTAAAAAGAGATTGACCTTCAACCCATGGCCAATTTATGTGGACACATCAAGTGACTATTTCCTCTTATTACATTCTCTGAGATAGAAATAACACAGACGAACAAAACTTGAAGAACTATAATATGATAGTATTTTGGATAAGTGGAACCATATACATGTAATACTGTTTTTGTTATTTACTTTCAGTTTCTTCTGGAATTAGTGACAACTTCAATTGTCTCTTCTCCTTGACCTCTGTTTCATGCTGGAAGTTTACAGCAATACTTGCCAATATCTTCGCATCACAAATTGTTCCTCCTGGGACTTACAATTTGCTTAAACTGTGTTTATTGATGAGTCTAGTACAGACAAGTGATTGTAAAAAGGAACTAGAAAATTGCCTGGATATTTTAATTATAACAAGTGATACTCTACTTGTAGACAGGTAAAATATGTGCCATGATTTTGTCAAAGTATAAGTTTGTCACAGAATTGCCTGACTACTTCCCATTAGTCTTATTATAATATGAAATTTTAATCTGACTGCTGTATTTAAATCAGTTTTCATCAATGAAGTTCAAAAGTTTTAATCATTAATTGAGAATTGGAATATTTGCTTTTAATATTTTGAGAATCTAACTACTCACAATTTCAACATATTCTACCATATAGACCTTTACAAATATAGTAAATGCATCTTCTTTAGGTTCCCCCCAAACTGTTCTTTAGACAAATGTTCTTTTGTATCTTGTTTTCATATTTAAATAATCTTCCTCTAAGAGCTAACAGGCTATTTTCTTCTTTTCTTTATATATAACATTTAATAATAAAAATCATTTACTGCACCCAAACAAAGCTATAAAAAATATGAAAGTCACTAGAGCTTTTTAGGGGAGAGTATTTACTTAGCCTGTGGGGACTCTTCTCTAACAAGTACACTCTTTTAAAAGTTACCTAAATATTCATAAATGTAGGTATAAACTCTCTGTTAATATCTTGTATGTCACTCTGAAGTAAACAAATTTGTGAAAAGAATTTAAAATTGAAACTTGAAATTAAACTGAGCATGGTGGTACATACCAGTAATCCCGGGTGAGGCAAGAAAAGATAACAGATTTGAGGTCAACCAGGCCAATTTAGGGAGACCTTGTCTCAAAAAATAAAAAGTATTCTGTAATCCCAGTCCTCAGGAGGCTGAGGCAAGAGGACTGCTGCGACTTGAGGGCAGCCTGGGCTATACAGTGAGTCCAAAGCCAATCTGAACTATATAGTGAGACTGTGTCTCAAAAAATAAAAATAAAATAAAGTTAGGAATGTAACTCAGTGGCTCCTTGGATTCAGTCTGCACACACACACAGAACCAAAAAAACTAAAAAACACTTAAAATTAGATTAACATAATTGAATAATGTTTTGTTAAAATTAAATCATCATTAGCAATGTAAATAACATGCTAAATGCCACAGATTATACCACTGCCGTATTCTACTATGAGATCTTGAGAGTATTTGCTTTTTTACAGCCTCACCAACACTGAGTTATCAAATTTTAAATTTTTGCTACCTGAGAGGGTTGTGGTGGCACATACTTGTAAGCACAGCCCTCAAAAGGCTGAAACAGGAGGATCCCCATGAGTTTGAAGCCAGCCTGGGTTACATAGTGAGTTTAAGGCCAGCCTAAACTACATAGTGAGGCTCGGTTTCCAGAAACCAAAAAATTGAAAATAAAATTTTGCCTTTTTAAGGTAATGGTATTTTAATTTGTCTTTCTTTAATTGGAAATAACCTTTAGTATAATTTAAGACATTAAAGACTTGTATTATTTTTCTATGAACTTTTTGTTTTTGATCATTGTCTATTGCAAGTTAAGGTATTTGTCTCTTTGCCTGTGTCATTTACCTTCAGGTTTTTCTTGTGGTATTTGGGGCTGTGAGAAATTTAGTTTTTTGTTTTTAAGTAAATTTTATATATACTAAAATAATCATATCTTACAGAAACTATGTTTTGAAAAATGCACACACTCCTATAACTTCAACTATAAAATGAAGATATTTTCATCACTCTATAAAGTTGTTCTTTCTCTACAGGTGACTTCTGTTATCATAGATTAATTGACTTGTGCCTCAATTTTTCATAAATAGACCCACACAGTGTGTATTCTTGGATATTCTGTTTTGTTCGACATGTTTTTGAGACTGATCCAGTGGTGTGCATTGGTAATTCATTGCTTTTATTGATGAGCAGTTTCCACTATAGAAATAAACCACATGTTATCCATCCTGCTAGTAATGAGAATTCTGAATAAAACTGCTGAAAACATTATTGTAGTGCTGTGGATCAAATCCAAGGATTCACGCATACTAGGCATGTGCTATGGTCACTGAACTACATTCCCAGCCCTCCTGTTTTTTTATTTAAAACTGAATTCATTGCCTTCTCATTAAGCTACAGCCCCATCCTTGTTTTTTTTTTGTTTTTTGTTTTTTGTTTTTTGTTTTTAATTTCAAGACAGGGTATTGTTAAATCACTAGATTACCCAAGCTGGCTTAAACTGGCAATCTTCTTGCCTCACCTTCAAAGTGTACTTCAAACATTACTGGTGTGTGATACCATGGCTAGTTTGTTGGATTGTTCTAGATATATGTCCTTGTTACTCCCATTCTGAAGCTTATTTTTAAAGATTTTCTTGAAGGTGTCTTTGATGAGCAAACTTTTTTATTTTTATGGAAGTGTCTTTTTTCTGTCTCAAGTTAACTTTATATATGGTTCAAGATAGGAATTAAGATTATTTTTCTTATGCATTTACCCAGTTTTCTCCATGCCATTTTCTTTCCCCATTAGAAAGACTTACCTTTCCCCATTTAATTGTTTTGGTACCATTGTTGAAATTTTTAATTGAATTGGATATTAATGGTGTAACATTGAACTGTGTGTAAATCTATTTGACCTCTGTTTTCTGCTACTTTGATCTGTGATTATCAGGTACATACTATACTGTATTGATTATTGTAGCTCTATATTCAGTCTTAAAATCAGACGATACAACTTTATTCAAGATTTCAAAGAAGTATTTTAGATTCTTCACATTTTTGTATAAAGTTTAGAATCAATATATTAATACTAAAATTCCTAAACAAAGAAAAGGGTGGGGGAGAATTGGCTGCTTTCAAATTTGATTGCTACTTCATTTAACTTGTAATTCAATTTTGGGGGATAATTAATGTCTTAATATTAAGTATTCCAACCTATAAATATAGTGTAGTTTTCTTTTTAGGTCTTTAACTTCTCTCAGTAATGTTTTGTATAGATGCCACACATATTTTGTTAAACTGACTACTACATATTTGATTTTTGATGCTGTTAGAAATGGTTTGATGCTGTTAGAAATAGTTTTCTTAATATCATTTTCAGTTGTTCGCCATGAATACAGACATTCCTTATTTAACAACAGACTAGGTCATTAAATGGATTGGGCACTAAATGAGGAATTGTATACACTGTAGAATGTATATTATGGTATTCAGAAGAAAGAAGTGGTCAAAGAAAACTCCAACTTGATGACTGCTTTTAGTTGTATAACTCCTACATGCAGTACTGTAAAATATAATATAAAACTATTACTGTACTGTACAATCAGCAAAAGTACTGTACACAAGATGTACAGAAAAAGACATTGTGGCTTTATAAACAAGATGTACAGAACTGGACAAAAAAAAAGACTGAGCATAAGTCTGAGCAGCAGGCAGTAACCCTGAGCAGCTGTTAAACAAGGTACAATGTTAAGAAATATCTGTACATAGAAATAAAATTGATTTTTGTTTTTTCACTTCTTATTCTATGACTCTGCATCAGTAGTTTTAAAAATTCCTCAGCTGATCTTAATGGGTAGCCAAGTTTGAGTTCCCTTCTTCCATATTATAGGCTGTCAGTCTAGCATATTAGAATCACCTGAAAGAGTTTTAAAAAAACAGTTGGGCATAGTGGCACAAACCTATAGGTCCAATACTCAGGAAACTGAGGCAAGAAGGGATCACTAGAGGTCAGGAGTTCAAGACCAACCTAGACCACATAGTGAGATCCTATCTATAATTTTTTAATTAAAATTTTAAAATGTCTATAAATATATGCCACCTCCAGTTCCTAATTTAAATACTTTGGGCCTTCTTGGTATTAAAATTTGTTAAAAAGCCCCTTAGGTGATTTTAATGCAATCTAAGAATGAAAACCACTGTTTTATAATCTTGAAAAGTTTCTAAATTTCACTTGCTTTGTTTGTGATATACAATAAATACATTCATCCTGGAGAATTGATCATGTACATATCACATCTTAGTACTTTTTAGAGTGTTTGATTATCCCATCTAAGTACCACTCAGTCTCTTTTGTATTGTTTGTCTATAGCTGCTCATCATAGTTGATTGCATCAGCAAGCTGATTTCTGTGGCAACCATTTTAGAGCTAAGCTGAAATAATTATGTTCCTTTCTCAGAATTTGAAGTGAAGAGAATGAGGCAATTAGCAAAGAAATTAGAAACTAAGAGGGTGTAGCGAGAGTTGCTATGATACAGAAGCAGCAGAAATAGTCATGATGGGACATTAGCAAGCCTAATGTAAAATTCTGAATATGCAAAAAGAAAGCAACCCATAAAAAAAGAATAAGCTAAAGGCTTTCTCTGACTCTTTTCCAGGAGGAAATAATGTTCCCTTATGAGTATTCTCAATATATTGCTTACTACATTGTATGTTAGTGTTTAATGTTTCTCTTCATAGGCTATCCACGACTCTCCAAGTTGAGGACCAAGTTTCATGTATGATTTTTAATCTAAATTATGGGTGCTCAGTAAACACTGAATCAAATTTAATTGTGTAACTGTTAACATACATGATTTCTGAATGCCAAATATTAAATAGTAGTAATGACTAATTTATTTTCCCCCTAGACTTTTGAATTTTAGCATAAACCTTGTTCCTCATGGTATACATCATCCAGTCTCTACTGAAATTTTTCCTACTCTGTCCACAAATAAATACGGAACTGGAGCAGTTAGCATTCAAGCTGGCAGTGCTTTGCTAGCTAAAGGTGGTATCTGCTTTATAGGAGACTTGTGCTCACACAAAAAGGATAAACTTGAACAACTTCAATCAGGTAAACTATTTTTAAATTAATTTTTACCTATTTAACCTAATCTTATCAATGCCTAGGAATTACTGAACAGCAATAATGACTATGATAATGTCTCTCATTCTCTTCGTAGTAGCTGTCCTTATCTTTATGTTTGCTGAAATTGAACTTAAGAGACTAAACTAATATCACTCTGAACAGTGAATAATAGTATTGCTAGATTTTATATCATAATGCTACAGAATTAGCACTGGGTACCTTAGTGTCTCTTCGTCTTCAGAGTCGCTGTTCATTACATCGTGTGTTATATAATCTGTTCGCATAAACTGTTTAGAAATTCTACACATGTGTGAATCTCTACATGTATACCTATCCTTTCTGTATTATAGGGAAAAACAGATCAAAACAAGACAATAAAACAAATTCCTAGAAAAACAAGAAATGAAAAAGACATATAAAACCACAATACTAGGTGATCTACAGTAGTTACTATCTGTCTCTTGTTATTTTCAATAAAATTATCTACATCATCAGATATAATTGAACATAGCATTACATAGCAATTTTAATAAAAACACAACATTGGAGACTTCAAAAGCAGTTAATAATCAAATCGGAATGGATATTTTATTACATCTTGTCATCTTCAGAGTAATTGCCTCTACTTTTAGACTTGATACTATCAAACATACCAAATTTGAATAAAATCAGTCAAGACAAAACAGCAGTCTAACAAACCAGATTCAAATAAGATCAGTCATAGAAGACAATGTAAGTAATACAGGGCTCCAGTTTAAGTTAATAGGAAATTAAGGATAGTTACCGTAGTATATCCTGCTATTTTTGGGATAGCTGTCTGTGCCCTCAAATCTAGTATGAGTAGACAGACTGGAACAAAATTAAAATCAAACTAAACAGAATGATAAGACTAATATGGCTTTTAAATCCTGATATACTATTACAGTGTCCTCTGCCTTCGTTTTTTAGACAATTCCTCCCCTTTCCCTTTCTCAGGGAAAGTGGGCCCCACTAACTCCTTTAGTTTTTAGATTATGGGGCAACCCGTTATCTATCTAAGAGGTGGTGAACCTTTTTAACTACTGAGCTTGATCTTGAGCTATATTCTTTTACTTACTAAAGCCTAAAGGTTTTCCTTCCTTATAGCTGAGTAGTTCTCCACTGCACAAAAGTGTCATGACTTTCCAACCTATCTGGAGCTGCTGTATGAGTTGTCCCTATTTCTCTCTGGTTCCCTATCACATAGAGTATCATTTTCTCATCTTTGACTTTCAGTTTATTAACCCTCTTTCAGGTTGAGTATATTTCCTATTCAGAGCATCTCGATGGATCCTATCTCCTGATCTACTCTGCCTTTCTTTTTGTTAGAGTATCAAGGCTACCTGTATTAGAGATTATAGCCCACCTTCTCTGCCTCATCTCTGCTATTCTATTTTTCTGCTATTATTTGTCCACTTTTCTCCTTCATTCCACTGTCTGCCCCATTCATTGAGGCCTCTCTGCCACTGCTGCTGGAATCCTGGTATTTTTTTCTATCTCTCTCTAGAATGTCCTTCAGTATTTTTTGTAGGGTTGGATTGGTGGTCACAAACTCCCACAGTTCCTCCTTATCATGGAAACATCTTGTTTCTCCATTAATTTGGAGAGAGAGTTTTTCAGGGTACATCAATATGGGTTGGAGGTTATTTTCTTTCAGAGCTTGGAGTACTTCACTCCAAGCTCTTCTTAATTTGATAGATTGTGTTCAGAAGTCTGTCATTATTTTGATGGATTTTCCTTTATAGGTAATCTGTTTCTTTTCTCTGACTGCTTTTAATATTCTGTTCTTGTGAATTTCTGGGATCTTGATTATTATATGTCTGGGTGTAATCTGTAAATCTGTTTTGGTTGTAGTTGGCTGGAGTTCTGTATGCCTCATTTATCTGGATATCATTTCTTTTTCCTATGCTTGGGAAGTTTTCCTTAATTGTGACTAGCCTTTGTAATTCATTTGTGTTTACTCCTGCTTCTTGGCTTATGTTTTTTATTCTTAAATTATAAATCCTCTTGTTGTCTTCTAGCCTTTGTATTATTACTTCCTGGTTCCTTGTTATTTTTAAGAGATCTTTTCTTTCATGATCACACATTGCAAATCTATCTTCAAATTTTGAAAGACTAACTTTAGTTTCTGTCAAGGCATTTTGCCAGCTTTCTATGAAATTTTTCATTTCCTGGTAATCTCTTTGGATCTGTTTCATGTATTCTAGATTTTTGTTTATATTATTCACCAAAGATTTCTCTTCTTTTTCTGGGTTCCTCCATTCCTCCATCTGTGTCTTCTTGAGAAGGGCTTAGCATTTCGTTTACTAATCTTTTTATATCTTGCCTCACTTGGATTAGAATTTCAGTTTTAAGTTCATCTATGAGGTCATGAAGGTATTTCTTTATGTCTGCTGATGTGTGGCCGATATGCATGATTGCTGCACTGGATCTCTTCTGTATTTACCTCTCCTGGACTTATTTTCCCTGAGTCAGTGGCTGGAGGCTTTTTCTTATTTCTTTCTCTTGTCATGTTTCTGGTTTCTTTCAGACAGGTGTATGGTGGAGGTCTCAGGCTCTCTCTGTATTGCTTACAGTTTTTCTAAAGTGTGCTGGCTTGCTGCCTTCTCCAGTGTGTTGTTATCTGAGGTACATGCAGGGACGATGTGGCCTGGCCCCTCTTCTCTGAGCCAGTCAACCTGTGAGTGCCTTCAGTACATTAGTCTGTGCTATGCGGATGTCACAGGTTCAGGACAGTTTCATACCTGTCTATTGGGTCCCAACCAGCGGCCCACCAGTCCTCTTTGGGCCAGGAATGGCTGACTGACACCACTGCGGTTCCAGGTTCAGGCCTATCCTGCCCAACTCCAGTATGTCCTCCAGCTGGCCCCACCTGCCGCAGGACCCAATTTCCAGCACTCCCCATGAATTAATGCAGTTCTCCACCTTGGCTTCACTCTGTACTGTGCTTTCGGCGGCTATGTCTTCAGTGGGACAGTGAACTGTCGCAGGACCAGTCCCAGGGAGCACATCTGGTTCCAGTCTTTCATCCACATTTTTCCTTCCTTTCTTTTTTTTTCTTTTTCCTCAGTTTCTTCCTGGGTCATGACAACCCCTCTCCTTTCATCTTCTCCATGTTGTTAAATTCTAGTATCTGAGTTGTTTTCCTCAGAAAGGCTCTCTACCTTCTACCTATCAAGCAGCCATCTTCAGAACTCCCAAATATTTTTATATATTATTGGATTTGATTTATTATTCTATTGAGCATTTTTACATTTATGATCATGAGAGACTGGTATGTAGTTTTTTTTCTTATAATGTCTTTGTCTAGTTTTGGTATTAGGGTAACAGTGGTTAAGTCAAATTTATAACTAACAGTGTCTCATTAGAATATCTAATCTGTGTTCCTATCAGACATCTTATTGATTTAAGTTTTTGTGTGCTTCTTGAATTATTTGGGAAGGTGAGGTGGACAACAGTTAATTGGCCAAATAGCAATTAGGGCTTTGCCTCTTGGCATGCCAGCATAAATGTGCAAGAACGCTTAGGGCATATAGTATATTGATTTATCCAACAAAAACAAACATACATTACTGTGGTCAATTGATTTATTTTATTTATTGTTTATTCTTTGGTAGTGCTAGAGATCTAATACAGGGTCTTGAGTGTACCAAGCAAGTACTCTACTGCTAAGTTACATACCCAGCCTTGGTCAACTGACTTTTTACCATACTATCAAAATAAGATGATGGTGGAACATCTATGTACAGTGGTACCTCCGTTCATGAACTTAATTCTTTCCACAATTCTGGTCTTCAACCAAAATTGAATGAAAACTGAATCAAATTCAGTGATTAGGTTCAACTTTGACTTTATAAGGAAATTTGAACCAGAATCATGGAAAGATTTAAGTTTATAAGCCAAAGTATGACAGTAGATGGAAAAAATTAATCTCAGCTCAAACTGAGCATAATAATGCATTTGAGATGAATCATTAAGCTAAATGTAAAAAACTAAAATTATAAAACTGCAAGAAAATATAGAATATCTTGATGACCAAAATGTTGAAAATACTTTTTGACAGGACTCAGCACTAAACTTAAAAAAAACTAATAAATTTGGCTTAATGGTAAAGGGATCAGAGAAGTAATTGTGGTGTGAGCACACAGACTCTCTTGCAAAGAAGCTACTTGGGAATCACATATACAGTGTCTCATTGGACTGTCTAATTTGTGTTCCTATCAGACATCTTATTGGTTTAAGTTTTTATATGCTTCTTGAATTATTTAGGAAGGTGAGGTTATGTTATGTTCTTTTATGGTTTCATATTTACATTAGGCTATTACTATTTTATATTTGTTTTTTCATTGGCATTGATTTAATAGGTGTCTAGGTTCTCTCCTTCATCTCAGCTCTTTATCCAGTTTCTCCACCTCAAACCTGTAAGAAAATATTAACATATATCTTTAATTTTTTTCCAAAAACATAAACTCCTCCTAAGTTTTTAAATTCATCATACTTAGCCCTCTCAAGTCACTTCTACCTTCACTAGTATAATTCCTCAATCTTCTTCTCCATCCTAAGCTTTTTTTTTTTTTTTTTTTTTTTTAATTTTTATTTAAGGAGAAAAGAAAAGAAAGAAAAAAAACAGTGAAGGGGTACAAGTTATACAGATTTACAGAATAAAAAAATGCGCAGTAGGAAATCACTAGTTAATGGATTACATATTGCCATCTTAGAAATAATTGTTCAAGTCACAAAATTAAAGCTTGTAGAGTGGACATTCCACCAATGATACTGCAAACAGTTCTGTTCAATGATCCAATAAAACTCTGTGATATCATTTTCTATCTTATACTTTTAAATATACATGCAGTTATATAGTTTAGAGCACTTTCTTTTCCTCTCTTTTGTACAGTGACTATTACACATTTTGGGTTTCATTGCTCCCACGGTTCTTGTTGCTTTTTTGGAAGAGAGTAAAACCA